ACTCTTTTTTTTTTTTTTTTTTAAAGAGGCACGTATTTTATTTATTTATTTATTTGTTTATACATGCACTGGGTACAGTCAGAAGCGCGGGAGGGTGAAAGAATTCACCAGAGCCAGAGCGGGGAGCAGAGCAGGCAGAAGGATCGAAGTACACTGCTGAGGGGAGCAGCGGGCCGCAGGAGAGGTCTGCGCGCCATGTGGGACCCTCCTCCGGTGGCCGGGGAGCAGCTGGGGATCGAACCGGTGCCGCAGAGGCCGCGGGCAGCTTCACAACCCAGCGCTCAACCGCTGCGCCACTGGGGAGGCCCCGTGACTCTTCCTGGCTTCTGGTTGCTAACAACTCCTGGCATTCCTTGACTTGGAGATGTATCACTCCAATTTCTGCCCCTGTGTCATGTGGTTTTCTACGTCTTTTAATTCTCTTTCTTTTTATAAATATACTAGTCTTCAGATTTAGAGTCTACCTAATCCAGTATGACTCCTAATCCAGTATCTAAACATGATTTCATATTCAAAGACCCTACTTTCAAATAAGTCACATTCACAGGTTATAGGGGTCAGGACTTCAACATATATTTTTGAGAGTGAAATTCAACCCACAGCAGGTGATATTAGAATATCCACTGGACACAGTGTCACCCAGGATCAGCCTGAGACCTAAAACAAAACAAAGTAAAACTATGGGCTATAAAATACATGAATTAATGAATGTTGAACTATATGTCTATGACAAGTCATAAATCTATTTCACTAAAAGTTAATTTTGGGGGAAAAAACTTAATTTTTATATTTGTAAAAGTATTTATAAAATACTATGTGGCCTAGGGCCTCCCCTGGTGGCGCAGCAGTTGAGCACTGGGCTGCAAAGCTGCCCGCAGCCTCTGCAGCACCGGTTCAATCCCCGGCCGCTGGCGAGGGTCCCACATGGCGCCCAGACCTCTCCTGCTGCGCCCACTGCTCCCCTCAGCAGTGTACTTCATCAGTCTGCCTCTTCTGTTCCCCGCTCTGTCTCTGGTGAATTCTCTCACCCTCCCGCGCTTCTGACTGTACCCAGTGCTTATATAAATAAATAATCTTTTAAAAAATTAAAAAAATACTATGTGGCCTAGATTTTTGACACTGCTCTGTCATTCCCAGAAAGCATGAGCATTTGTCAAAACTTTGAAGGGAAAATTTAAAATTCTTTTAAATATAACAAGAAAAAAAATTTTAGAGTGGAGAATGATGCGTTTCAATCTGTTGCATGTGATATGGATGGGACCTCCAAAAGTAAGAGTGTCAAGGCTTGCAGAGTTCCTGCAGTGGGCCTTTCTCTTCCCACACATGCTGTCTACAGATGCCCAAGTTTGCAAGGCTAGTGAGCTGAAGTCATGAACTAGGAAAGCTATTCAGAACTGCCTTGGGCAATCCTCCTGTAATTAAGGACTGACTGAATTAAGTTATCCAGACTGAACTGGGTACTCTGGGAACAATGGGAAGCTATAATGGGGATACTAGAAAACATACCAGAAAAAAAGTTGCACTTCAGCCTTGGTAGAAAACAGCCCTAGCAGGTCTGTTAGCAGTAGCCCAAGGGATTGAATTTTAGATTCAAGCTTCCTAATTAAGACAACACACATCAAGAAAAAATAAATATTTGCCATCTCCCCCTTTCTACAGAAGATCCTCTTCATCAAAAGACATGAAGAGAGTAGACATGATCACTTTAAGACCCTTGCCTGGAGCTGAGGTCAGCAAAGAAGGTTATACATCTGCCCAATGACTCCTAGCTGAGCTTTCCTTTCTCTTTTGCCTATGTGCTTTGGCATATTTAGCAATCACCTGAATATGTTCTGTATGTCTGGGGTCATTAAGATAACCTCCCGAGTTGATGATTTAAGAGAGGGCTCAGAGGATTCAGCATATAGCTGTGCCCATGGCTATGATTTATTAAAGGGAGAAGATACAAAGCAAACCAGCAGAGTGAAACAGAGCAAGGCAAGGCACATGGAGATGAGAGGAAATGAGGTTCAGCATACAGAGTGTCCCAGCAGAGTCACACAGGATGTGCTAAACTCCTCCAGCCGTGTCACAATAACACCTATGGAATGTCTACCAGGGAAGCTCATTAGACTGGTGATACAGGTACCCCCTGCCTAGCAAGTTTCAGACTTCTAGGCAGAGTGAAAGCAGAAGACACCATACAATTGAGGTACAACGAGCCACTCTTATAAGGAATGGTGGGAGCTCTCCTGAAATCAAAGTTACCAGGTGCCACCCAGGACCAGCCTGGCAAAAAAGCAAAGCAAAACAAGCAAATGAAAAAAATAGGCTTTCTGAGGATTGTAATTTTAGCCCTGCTATGTTAATTTTTTGCTGCACACTGCTACTTTTGGCCACCTCTGCCTGCTTTTGCCACTTCAGGAGAAACACAACTTGAGGCCATATGACCTCAAAACAGTCAGATTACCCTCAGACAGGCTTTTTTAGAGAACCTTCCCTAGCAAATGGCAGGTGTCCTAGTTTCATAAAGTTGTCCCATAGGAGATTATCTCAGTCAGTCACTGATGGGAGGAATACAAGTTTCAGATAATGCCATGGTGATCTTCATAGAAGAGCTCGCCATTTTGGTTTACATTTTGGATTATATACCAGAGCGCCCAATGGCCCTGCTGTGGTTTGCCTTAATAAGCTGGCCAAGAGCCTTTGTCAGACACCGTTTCTACATAATTGCAATTAGATCTTGCTCAAGGTGAATTGTAGTACCCCACATGCGAGGGATGCTTCTCATAGCCATGCCTAAAATGTCTTTGTATGTACTAAGTAATTTTATGCAATGCAGGCCTGATAGTGGCAGTCAGGAATTGGTTGAATTTGGGTTTGGAATCCCATAGAAGTCAAGAATCCAGGGCAATTGTTTTCATGGAAAAATTTTGCTTTTGCATTTCTAAAACAAAAATCACTGCCTGTGTCCCATCTACAGTATAAATGGAAAAACTAAGTTTTTCCTTCCTCTGGGGGAAGTTTTCTTAACTTCTGAGCTTTTGCTTCTGGTGACCAAGTGGGTGGATCTTTAGCCCCACATCAAGCAATTCTCTTCAATACCAGTTGGGTATCCTCCAGCACAACTCAATTCTGACACTATCTACCCAGATTGCATTAGAGCCTACACATAAGGGCTTAAACTTATAAGAACTTCCCTCCCATTCTCTTATCACACATCCTTCAGGTGCCAATTGCAAGCCCAGGTTATCACTTTTTTCTTTTGCTTATTGCTATGGATCAGTTGTTCCTATTCACAAACCTTAAGGAAACACTTGCATTTACAGTTTATTAAAGGACGTGATAAAGGGCATAGATGAACATCCAGATGAATGGGCACATAGAGTAAGGACAGGAAGGGTCCCAAGTATAGGAGAGTCTGTCCTCCTGGAGTTGAATGAATTTGTGAAATTACATTTACGTGATGTAGGCTGAAGCAATGAATTTGTCAGAGGTAATGACAAGTTAATATAAAGAAGCAAGTCTTGGGCCTCCCCGGTGGCGCAGCGGTTGAGCGCTGGGTTGCGAAGCTGCCCGCAGCCTCTGCAGCGCCGGTTCGTTCCCCGGCTGCTCCCCGGCCATCAGAGGAGGGTCCCACATGGCGCGCAGACCTCTCCTGCCGCCCGCTGCTCCCCTCAGCAGTGTACTTTGATCCTTCTGCCTGCTCTGCTCCCCGCTCTGGCTCTGGTGAATTCTCTCACCCTCCCGCGCTTCTGACTGTACCCAGTGCTTGTATAAATAATAAATAAATAAATCTTTAAAAAAAAATTCCTATTTAAAAAAAAAAAAGAAGCAGCAAGTCTAGTGTATCTCCCTGCTGGTGCATGAATGTGTGTGCCCACACACATCAGAGGTTCTCTGAACCCCCAACTATTAGGCTTTTATGGGGGCTTCCTCATGTAGGTAATGAGCAATTTTTCATTGATTCATCATTTCCAGCCTTTCTGTCCTCTCTGAAGGACGGGAGTGCTGAGAATGCCAAGTTTCTAAACATGATTTGGTCTTTCTGGTAACCAGCCCCCATCCAGGAGCCACTGAGGAAACCACAGTCACCTCAATAGAACAAGAGATACTCCATGATGTTTGTCAGACTGAAGAAGCTCAACTTTGAATTGGGAAAACTAATGAAGTTCATGGCACAGATTGTTCTGGAAAATGGGAAGCTAACTGGATGGACAGGATCTCCTATCCAAAAGCTATTTAATGTTTTTTAGCCAACCCAAACCTATTTGTAATTTGATTATAAATGGTGACAAAAACTTGTATCATTGAAATAATAGTTACAGTGAAAAGGATGTCTTTCATCTAATCTCAAGCATTCAACACATACTCATTTCTCAAAGAGAGACTCTTTCCATCTTGAAGAGTAGTAATTACTGGCTTCCGCCCTGATTAGCACACAGACTGTTTCTGCTGATTGCAGCAGCGCTGGAACATAAGTTGTCCAGGTGGGGAACCCAGATGCTAACCCTCGATAAGGCTTCAAGTAAAAGGAGGTGATTCCAGAGGGAAAGAACCCTTGGCCCCGAGTCCAGGAAGCAGTGAGGGAACAAATGGACGATGTTTTCCAGTCTGATACTGTCGCCAGTGCCTAGGCTTAGTCCTGGGGAAACTGGGCACTGGTGCAAAACACACAACTCAGGTGGATTCCTGGTGAGGTGCTAGGTTGCTGGGCCTTGGTACACACAGCATTTCCACATCAGCCATTGGCTGAGAGCTGCTCCCATCACCTCTTTGCTGCTCCCTTCGCAGCTAGAGGCAAAGGGCTCCAGAGGCAAGAGAAAGGCCTCAGGCCACAAAACGCAGCTTCTGCAGTTCCCATGATGATCTTATAAAGCGGTAACCGCTGGGGGTTTGTGTGGCTGGAATACTGACATAGCTGTGACTAGCCTAACCATGGAATGGTTTCAAATGAGATCTCCTCCACCCCTCCTTCCATAAGGTTATTCTACACAGTTAAAATAGTCAGGAAGAACAGGACCAAAAGGAGTATACCTTTAATGCTTCTGCAGCTGTATCTTGGAACAGAACAGCATGATTAACAGACACCAAGTTTCAAAACTTCTGTTTTAAAACATGCCACTGCACGAATTATTTTGTAAAACTGCATGTATGTGATGTGTACTGAAACAAAGCAGTGACAAGACCTATAAAGTAGCAAGGCTAGTAGGCATAAATTTTCACTTTGTGGACTTCCTTGTCATCACATTCCCTCTGTTTGTTGTAGTAATAGAAAGTGTTGTCCCTTCTCTGAAGTTTCTTCACATATCCTGTCTCAGGCCAACGATCTACCTGCACATTGGAAAAACCAGAACACATATACTGTGATGCCAGTTTTATTTTTATGTTATATTTTACTATCAACTAGTTAAGAGTACCACTCATAGTGAAAAATTAAAGTTAAAAATAACTGAGGGCTTAGAGTCACACACACACACACACACACACAAGACATCTGAGGTTGCAACCTTACACTGTAGACCTCATGCGGGGCGTCTCTCGAGATCCCAATTTTTACATTTAAATTTTTACTCCGGTGCTCTGCACTCAAGGTGAAAATGTTCAAACTCTTTCTTAGGTTTAAACAAATGATTTCAAACATTATTACTTCCTAGCCTCCAAAAATAATACCCCAGGAGGAAATTAGGGTGAGGCACAGGTTCCATTCTCAAAGGACCTAGCTTCAGATGCTGCCACAGTCACGAAAGGAAGCAGCTGGACAGAAACTACTGGAAGTGCCTATGTATTTCTTCACATCATGTTGCCAGGGCACTTGAGACTCAATTTGTAATAGAAATTTGAGGTCAGGAATATAGTTTTTGTCTTCTCCCCCCTCCAATCACAGCCCACTTTTTCCTTGGGTGAACTTTTTTTCTTCGTGGCTTGTTTTATCTGATTTGGACATTTTCTTCCCTTTCTTTCCAAATTCATGTTGTACGTTTTTGATTAGTTCAATGAGTTTCTGTTGTTATATATGTTTTTCTTTCTGGATTTTGTGAGATACCATCTATCATTGTCTAGAAATCAAATCCTATTTTTCAACACCATCTACAGACAGCAGCTCTTGGCTTCTCCTAATAATGCCCCTTATAAAGCACAACTCTCAGCTGGAATATGACTGCATCATGAATACAAAGGTATATACATCTTTTATTTTCTAACAACACATTTTCATTTTCTTATCTCTTTTATTTAGGAATTAGTAAAATAGGGAACAGCATAGCTGATAAGCTTTGAGAGGTCTCTGACATACATTCGAGAAAAAAGCATCACTTCCATCTCTTAGCTCAAGCCTGCCTTCTGTTGCTTCCATTACCCTCAGCAGGGGATGGAAGGTGTTTCCAAGTCACCATCTCTTCCTCGCCCACCTAGTGGATATTCCCCGGAACCATCTCATTTAGTATGGGATGAGTCTCCAAACAGCCTATTGGTTCTCTGCTTATCCACCTCCACACAGTTTTCATTTTATACCTTTGCTGTTTGCATAATTTTGTTCTTTGCTTTTTACTTGACCTGTTTTATCTAGGAACCAACTGTCCTCAAGGAAGGAGACATGCAAACACTCAGAACAACCACAGAGATATGTGTAAAGACAAAAAACTTGGCTCAAACCCTTCAGAACACTGTATACAACTAAACACTCACCAAACTGGGTGAATATTTGCTTCCCCTTCTTCTGTTGACTGTGGAACATAAAGTTCTCTTTGTCAGAGGTAGGGCTGCGGGGGAGGCAAGGACTATCTCCAAAAGGAAGCACTTTATCTTCCTCTAAATCCCTGTGCTTTTTTTTTTTTTTAAGGCACATATATTTGATGTGCATTAGGATTTATTGTTCCTGTACTCAATATTCTCCGAGACGGTAAGAATTAATAAAAGCTATCATTTATTAAACACAGTGCATTCATTAAACAAATTATGGAGTTCCACATTGTCAGGCACTTTAAACACATGATTTCATTTAATTCCTGGGACACGTTTCTAAAGCAGTACTACACTCACCGTTTCAGAGTTGAGCTAAGGGAAGTTAGGAACTTTGCTAAGGATTGCCCAGCTAGTGAGAGACACAGCCAGGAGCAAACCTGGGACAGAATGTCCACCCTGCATTCATCCCATCAGCTCATTAAACTTCTTGGAATCAGGCATTCACTTATATTTTTATTTTCTAATGCACGTGGCACAAATATTTTGCACATTGCAGATGCCCAATAAATATTTACTGAAGTGAAATAAAGAACATTTCCATTTTTGCCAAATCATGTAATAAGTAAGGTGGCTCTTCCCTTCATCACCTTCATTCCTGCTCTCATTTTCTCAGACTTTTGGGGACTTCCCTTTTAAGGAGGATCTTTGTGTTTTCTTAAATCTAATTTTATCTCAGTCACAACAGTAAGGTTTAGGAGTGTGGATGCAGCCTAAACAATCACATTGCCTGTATGACCCTGAAGTATTAAATGGAGATCAAAAAATAGAATGAATGAATGAAAATAAAGAGATCTGAAAAATCCACACATGAATTAACAGCTAAAGATAACAAAAATAACTAAAAATTAAAAACCAAGGTAATAGTAAACACTGTATTGTAGCTCCAAACTCAGAAATTAAAATACATTTATGAATACTACACCATATTCACTAATCTCCTTAAAAACTGAGTCTCCTAGCATCTTGTAGATTAAATAAATGACAAAAAAAAAATCACATTGTAAACTGGTGCCATGTCTAGTCTAGTCTTGCCTAGTCTTTGGTCTAGTTTTTGTAAAACAAACCCATGTCTCTTATCTCTCAAGAGAGCCCGGAATTCATAACCAAAGTCAGGAGTTGTTCTCTAACAGATTTTTGTCACCTAATATTTAATAATTTATAGTTACTTATAATTCATGGTTAAAAATTTTAAGAACCTGGAAAGAAATAATATATAGCAAATGGACTATCTGATAACAGAATTACCTAAGTGAGGGAAAAGACTCCGATTATGGTCTACCATAAAAGATTAATTTAGCATAGCACATAGAAAATTCTTAATGTTTTGGGCCTCCCTGCTGGCGCAGGTGGTTGAGCGCAGAGCTGTGAAGCTGTCCACAGCCTCTGTAGTGCTGGTTCGATTCTCGCCCCGGGGCGGAGCAGCCCATATGGCACAGCAGACCTCTCCTGTCTTGCCCGCTGCTCCCCTCAGCAGTGTATTTCGTCAGTCTGCCTGTTCTGTTCCCCACTCTGTCTCTGGTGAATTCTCTCACCCTCCCATGCATCTGGCCTGTACCCCGGTTCTTGTATAAATAAAATAAATCTTAAAAAATTTTTTTTTAAAAAAGAAAATTCTTAATGTTTCTGCACTGAGGGTCTTCCCCTAGTCTGGCTGAAAATCACTCTTCTGGGCTTCAGATTCCTATCAATAAAATGAAAGAGTTAGAGTGAAATTCCTTTTTGATTATTCTCTGGTTCTTTAACACTTTTATTTTTTTTTAGCCAATCAACAAAGTCGTTTTGAGTTCATGTTTGTAGAGGCAGGAATCTTACCATAGAAACTTGTTTCACTTGTTTATATTCGATTTCATCCCGATAGCCTGCTTGTTGAAATCTGTACAGATTTTCTATCTCTTCTGACCATTTTTTGGCACGATGTATTGATTTTGGTTTCACATCAGAACTAGCCATGGCTATAGAGGTCTTATTACCAATTATCTCTGAAAAATGTTAAAATACATTAGTAGATAATAGTGACAATTTTGATAATATCTTTAAGAATGAGCAAGATTAATATTAAAAAATTTGGAATTAGGCCTCCCTGGTGGCACAAGGGGTTAAGTCTCAGGACTATAAATCTATACACAGCTATTACAGCACAAGTTCGATCCCCGGCCAGGGAGCTAACCCACATGGTGCAGCAGTCTTATCCTGTCTTGCCTGCTGCTCCCCTCAGCAATGTATTTCACTCGATCTACCTGTTCTGCTTCCCACTCTGTCTCTGATGAATCCTCTCACACACCTCCACACACCTCTGACCTACACCCCAGCTCTTATATGCATAAATAAATAAAATAAATCTTGGGCCTCCCTGGTGGCACAAGAGGTTAAGTACAGCACCGTGAAGCTATCCGCAGCCTCTACAGCACAAATTTGATCCCCAGCCAGCCAGGGAGCTACCCACATGGCACAGCAGACCTCTCCTGTCTCACCCACTGCTCCCCTCAGCAGTGTATTTCAGTCAGTCTGCCTGTTCTGTTCCCTACTCTGTCGCTGGTAAATCCTTTCACCCCCCGCACCTCTGATCTGTACCCCATCTCTTGTATGCATAAATAAATAAATCCTAAACAAAAATAAGTCTTTTAAAAAATTGGGATTGAGAATCCCATGAAATATATTATATTTAATATAATTCCAAGATTCAGACGGGTTCATGCTCTATTTTGGAAAGCAAATAAAATGGACCCTGAAACATACATAGAGAGATGTTTATTTCTTCATTTCTTCATTAAATAAAATGTATGCAGAGTTATGTTGTCCTAAATGCTGTATACCAATTCTAATGATCTAGGTAAGAGCTTAGTATACTTCCGAAACCACACTGTATTTTAACTGCTTAGTAGATTGTAAAAATATCTTACCACCATTTCATTTAATCATATGCAAAGCTGCATAATTCCCACTCCTTATTACATCCCCCCTCTCTCTCCAAAAAATCAATCTTCTGTTTAACAAGCAGAGGTTTCTTCTTCTTTCATTTTTAACTGTTTGAAGCCATCCCAATCACTGTGGTCTGTTTACTCAGGAATCTGTGGCCCAGCTCCTGTGATAGCCGAATGGGAGAAGACACACGAGCACCAGGTCCGCGAAGGCAAGGTAGCTGTCGCAACACTGAGGCCAGTGATTTTAAAACCACGTTGGAGGTCACCAAGAGTCTCTGAAATTCAAATATTTAATTCCAGTTCCTATAGTTGTCCAATCACCAAACTTCTACAGGCAGCCTGTCTAAGACTTAATTTTGTACTTGTTTTCTTAGCTACTTCTTAGCTATTCTATTATCAAAATCTGTCAGGCATTTTAATCACAATAAAATGCTTAGAATTTTCACCACAATTCCTTGAATCCATTCTATAAAAATACACTTCCATTGGTTGGAATACATTAAAATCAGATCTCATAAAGTAGACCCTCGAAGTGAATTTGCAATTAAAAATTTTTTTCAGGGCCTCTCCGGTGGCGCAGCGGTTGAGCGCTGGGTTGCGAAGCTGCCCGCAGCCTCTGCAGCGACGGTTCCATCCCTGGCTGCTACCCCGCCACCGGAGGAGGGTCCCGCATGGCGCGCAGACCTCTCCTGCCGCCCACTGCTCCCCCCAGCAGTGTACTTTGGTCCTTCTCCCTGCTCTGGCTCTGGTGGATTCTCTCACCCTCCCGCGCTTCTGACTGTACCCAGTGCTTGCATAAATAAATAAATCTTTAAAAAATTTTTTTTCAGTTATAATTATGTTATGCTCATTATGCTAAAGAGGTCAAGAAATGCATTAAAGTACAAAAAAAGGAAAAGGCAAAATAACATCATAACACTTAGAAATAGCCATCTTTGTCATCAGGTGAATATCATCCCAAACAAATGATGAGCTAGAAGAACAGATTTAGAATACTATAATAAATGCTTTTACAAGTGTGATCAATTTAGCTTTACATGAGAGAGGAAAGAGATGGAAAGGAAATGGATAACATTACCGAATTTCAGATAAATATTTCTTCAATATGAAAGATGCAGCATAAAAGTTCCCTCAGTGTTAATATAAAAACATAATGAAGGCTGTTGGGAGGCTAAGTCATTTGTTTGAACTCCATGTATAAATCACACACAAGTACTAATTAACTTTCTTCAATGAAAAATAAGAAAGTGGTTTTATTGCTTCTTCCAATACTTATTTTAACATTCTAAAATATGGCATTTATATTCTATTCCTAAGACATAATTCTCACAGTTGTCTGGATTTATTTAAATTTACCAGATTTAAATAAATTGAAAGCAAGTTATTTAAGTCACAGTTTTCACTTTGATATACGGTAACAACTACCTAAGTTAAGATATCATTAATATTGTTGCTTACATTCTTTCAAGTGTGCATATCAACATGTATAGTGACTGTACCAAAGAAAATTAAGATATTGTTAACATTTGACTAATTATCAATCATTATTAATTTAGGCTCAGGCTCATGTTAGATTTTAAGGTAACATGCTATTACGTTGTATATATATTTATATAATTTATATAAATTTGTAATACCTGACAAAACAATAAATAAACCATATTTCAGTAAATTCTTTGTCCTTCATTCCATTCATTTGAATGGGGGGGGTCACTACTTCATTGCTGTAAAATATACTAGAAAAGTGACTTGGACATATGTGGTACAGCTCGATAATCTATTAACATATATACTCATATATATCTTATATATAATATATATTCATAAAAAGACACCAAGAAACATAAAAGGAAGAAAGTGCACCCACTATATTAAAACTACTTTCGAAATCAGTCATGTTTTTATATGAATTTAGTGGCTGTATTATATTGCTTTTACAGATGAAGCATATTTTCTGAAAGTACTGGTACTGATAGGGGCTGGGAGGTGAGGGAGATCGGGGGAGACACTGAGCTGGTATCGTAGGAAATCTGCAGACACATACTTCTTCTGGTCTGCCTGCTCTGAGTTAATTTTCCAGCCTAAGGACACGTCTGGAGGAGTGCAGGGTGCCAGTGCTATCTGAAGACCAGCTTCAGCACACTGGGACGATGCTGAGGACAGGAAAATCTTAAGGTGCTAATTTAATCTAATAGAAACCTTTGATGTAGTGGGTCATTTCAAACTCCCTTCTATGAGAAAACCCTTTTCTCTCTGAAAAGTGCTTTTACTCTTAGTGGTATGAAATCCCAACAGTATTCGTGTCCTTTCTATTCCATTTCTTCCCCGTTTTTTTTTTTTTTTTTGTTTGTTTGTTTGTTTGGTTTTTTCCTGTTTCTATGTGCAGCAGGATAAGGGGGCGGTGGAAAACCTTAGCCAATGAATATCCCTGGGCTCTAGTTTGCTGAACTGCGAAAAGATATTCGTCTCTCAAGTCCTCACACGTCTAAAGTTTTGGGGATTCAGCTGAAAAACAAAATTGTTTCTCACCACAGGCCAGGGGTGTGAAGCTACACTTATGCAGCATAAAGCTCCTCCTTTCTGGGAGCACCCCCACCCCCACAAAGGACAAACGTGACTTCTCCGGTTCCTTAACCATTTTTTTTTCCTGCCATAAATTGCATCTGTAAAAATATGCATGCATAGGCTAAGCTGGAGAAATTAGTCTAGAAACTGGGGATCAAAATGATGGGGGCGCAGGAAGAAGTCTGAAAAGAAACCCCAGCATCGAGGCCCCTAAAGCCAAAAGAGGCGCAGGGTAGCCGGGAAGGTACTAGAGAATCACTCTCTGAAATTCAAGAGGATCAAATAAAACCCCTCCCCAAAAGAGGGAGCCAACTGGAAATCTGGCAGCTGGAGCAGCAGCAGAGCCAGCAGGCAGCCCCCGGGCGGAAGGGGCGGAAGGGGCGGGGCAGGGCGGGCTTCCGGGGCGGGCAGGCCGGGCCCTGCAGCGGCGCGTCCACCCACCGAAGGGTCCAGCTCGCGGGGCTTTCCCTCGCCCGACCTCCAGTCCTCCAGGTCGCCGGGGAGCCCCGTGAGGAGCTTGCAGGGAAGCGCGGCTGTGCTCGTCTTCCCCCCTAGGGATCCTCGAACTAGGCAGCGAGAGGCCAACTGTTGGGGCCTTGGCGACCCTAGCGTCTCCTAGCAACGCGTGGCCCCGCCCAGACGCCTAGCTCGCTCAGGCCCCGCCCCCTCGAGTGGGCCTTTGTGCGCAGGCGCGGGAGCTTGGCGGGGCTGGGGCGGGACCCAGTGTTGATCCAAGCATGGGAAACTTGCAGGTTGTCATCCTTGTACAGATGTGCACAGAGGCAGGTGTTATTTGCCCGCGTTTTCAAAGAGACAGAATCTTAAGATTGTGGCAGAGAACAGAGACCGTTGGTGTTTCTGACCCTGATAGTAGGTCCCTCCTTTGTCCCACCCCCTTCTCGTTTTGTTGGAGTTCAACCAACCAACCAGGCGAGCATAGTGCCTGACATGAAGTAAACTTAGAATCAACAGCATCTATAATTATTTTTGTATAATTATCTTCATTATTACATTTAAAATATTGTATTTTTGGGCCTCCCTGGTGGCGCAAGGGGTTAAGTACCGCACTATAAAGCAATACGAAGCCTCTGCAGCACGAGTTCAATCCCCGGATGGCCAGGGAGCTACCCACATGGCACGGCAGACCTCTCCTGTCTTCCCTGCTGCTCCCCTCAGCAGTGTATTTCAGTCTGCCGGTTCTGTTCCCCACTCTGTCTCCGATGAATCCTCTCACCCCCGCCATTTCTGGCCTGTACCCCAGCTCTTGTATGCATAAATAAATAAATCTTTAAAAATAAAATAAAATACTGTATTTTCTTAGATCCCCAAATGTGTTTCATCAGCCTGAATCGCTCTGAAATCTAGACTTGTATGGAGGTATATTCGACATCTAACAAAACAAACCCCCCTCCGAATGCCTCACCCCAAAACCTGCTCCTTCCACAGTCTTTCCCTTTCAGTACGTGGTCCCTAGAGTAGACTATTTCTCTTGTCCTGGGTAATCATCTGTCAGCAAGACCTGTTGGCTTCACTGCTCCAGTCCAGTGGAAGCCACCATCATCCTTCCCCGCTCCTTATTATAATAGTGCCTAATAGGACTTTTTTGTCTCCCCCAATCTATTCGCAACACCGACAGCGTGATCCATTTAAAACACAAATCAGGTGATATCATTTGTTCTGAATCCTGTAACTGATTTTCAATTTATAGAGTAAAACTCAGCAAAACCCTACAGGATTTGCACACAACTCCTCCTCCTTGCTTTGCAGAACTGAGTCATTTCCTCCAGTCACACTGGCCTCTTGGCTTTTCCTGACTTACCGCCCCCGGCCTGGTTGTAGCTGCTCCCTCTGCCTAGAATGGCCTTCCACCATTAATCCCCTTGGCTGGCTTCCTCATCTAAGTTACAAATACACTTTTTAATATATAGTATCTCAATTGTAGACTTCTAGTGTGATGCTTTTTTTTTTATTTTTTAAAAGATTTATTTATTTTATGCATACAAGAACTGGGGCACAGGCCAGAGGTGCAGGGGTGGTGGTGGTGGTGAGAGGACTCACCAGAGACAAAATGGGGTACAGAACAGGCAGACTGAAATACACTGCTGAGGGGAGCAGAGGGCGAGACAGGAGAGGTCTGCTGCCCCATGTGGGTTGCTCTCTGGCTGGCCGGGGATGGAACTCGTGCTGCAGAGGCTGCGGATTGCCTCATAGTGCAGTGCTTAAACCCTGTGCCACCAGGGAGGCCCCACATATTCATCATCTTGATGAGAAAATATATCATTGAGCAAATTAATATAATAAAGATTCCAGCAGAACTTCCAGCCCACGTGCAATGAACATTCCAATGCAGGCATAATCAACAAGTTTGCTTACTTACAGCTCCTTCCCTTTCAAGATTCATGGCCAGAGCCTCAGCACTCTTATCTACAAGGTTGGGCAGCTGGCCAAGCTGGTCTCTCTCTCCAAGGCCATCCCTGAATGCCTGCATCTTTCCACCCTTGCCTTTCCCCGCTTGTCTGGGGACTTTGCCACAAATGGTTGTGCCTGCTGAAAAACGATGTTATCAATGTAACAGATATGGAGACAGTTGTGTATAAAAGGAACCCTTGGTCTTCAAACTGATGCTCAGACCTTGCGGGGCTACCCAGGTCTGGGACATCATGCATGAGTAAACAAGCTTCTCCTGACCTCACCATTCCTGAAGTCACGGTTATTCTTCGCCTGCCTGGGTAAAAGTCTAGAATTTATTTCTACAACAATCTATGTAATCATTGCAATGAGTGTACAGTGCTATGCACCAACTAGGTCCTCAAAAGTGTTTGTGATTGATAATAATAAGTTGTCTAAGGAGACACGCTAGGAAAACATGTAGTTAATGCCTTTGTAACTACCTGGTGATTCTCAATACTTTAACCAACTTTTTCATAAAGTTGCTTTGGTGGTTAAAACATTGCAGATAATTGCCCCATCACCCTACTCTCCCCTCCACTTTTTATAAAAAGATTTTATTTATACAAGACCCAGGGTACAGGCCAGATGTGTGGGGAGGGCGAGAGGATTCACCAGAGACACAGTGGGGAACAGAACAGGCAGAATGACCAAAATACACTGCTGAGGGGAGCAGCGGTGGAGTCAGGAGAGGTCTGCCTCCTGATGTGGGTTGCTCCCCCAGCTGGTGGCACTGCAGAGACTGCGGACAGCTTCGCAGAGCTGTGCTCAATGTCCTGAGCTACCAGGGAGGCCCCACACCCCTTTTTTTTTTTTAAAAAAAAGATTTATTTATGCATACAGGAGCTGGGGTACAGGCCAGAGTTGGGGGGTGTGTGTGAGAGCGGATTCACCAGAGACAGCGTGGGGAGCAGAACAGGCAGATTGACCAAAGTGCACTGCTGAGGGGAGCAGCAAGCGAGTGAGGAGAGGTCTGCTGCGCCATGTGGGTAGCTCCCTGGCCGGGGGATGAAACGAACTCCTGCTGCAGGTTCATAGGTTGCGTCTTAACCCCTTGTGCCACCATGGAGACCCTTTTCTCCCCTTTTATACATCTAATTTGCTCTAAAAATAATTCAACGGAGTCGGGGAGTGAGAATGCGACGGGAGCGCCCCGCGCCACATCCTCCAGCTCTGGGCCCCGCAGCGGCTTCCATCAACCGCAGGGCGCAGCCGCAAGGGTCACCCGCGGATCCCCGCCCACTGTCAGTGACCGGAAGCCGCTCCGCGCCCTGGCCCCGCCTCCCACGCGCCGCGGGGCTCCTCTAATTGGCCGTGGCTGCTCCCGCCTGTCCAATGGGGAGGCGGCGGCTGCTTCCCGGAAGTGGCGGCGCGTTCTAGGAAGGAGCTGGGATCCCGGTGCTGGCGCAGGGGCGGGAACGCCGGGCTTGGCTGGAACGATGAGCTGCTTCGAGGGACAGATGGCCGAGTATCCAACCATCTCCATAGATCGTTTCGACAGGGAGAATCTGGGGGCCCGCGCCTATTTCCTGTCCCACTGCCACAAGGGTGAGTGAGCCCTGAGCGCCCCCTGCGCCCAGCGACCTGGGCTGCAGCAGCTCAGATGCTCAGGGGCCTGGAGAGGGGGAGGTCGGGTCGGGGTCAGGGCAGGTTTGGGGAGACCCGCGGAGACTAGCAACTGCTCCTTTTTAAATTGTGGCTGTTAAACTTCCCTGAGGTTTTATTTCCTCACCTGTACCGCGGGATATTGCAGCGACTGCCAATTGCGCCTGCATCAATGAGGAGGAGGTGTGATTAAGCACAACTTTCGGATCTTTGGAAAGCTCTCCTAGCGAGCCCCTAGCCCGAGGCTAACGAGGATTACTTAATTCTTCACCCACATTTTCGTTACCATGTTATAAAGAAGACTAGCTTCAGATGGAATTATGCCATGCCCCCCCCCCACCCCAACGTTTATTAGAAGTAGACATCCACACACTAGGCTATCTGTAAGCTGACCAAGTGCAAGCTCCTCTTTAGATGCCCTGTCCATATCCTGTATGAAGGGTTCATTTTAATCTAGAGGCAGCATGTGGTTTTCCTCACAGAAGGCAGGTCAGGCAACCAGAACTGGACACCATTAAGGATTAAGCCTGGACTCTCACTCCTGGTAAGACTTCCAGGCTAGGGGGTTGGGAGCAAGGCTGGACTCTGAAACTGTTTAGCAAATCTCCAGAGCTGGAATGCCATTGATGTTACAACCATTTTCCATTTTTAACATGTTATATTGACTAATATGTCTTTGACTTTGCCTGTGACAGCAGTTTTGATTTTCATGATGCTAATCAGCACAGTCTTTGGCTCAGATTAGAGATGAAGATAAACTGAAGCACTCTAGTAGCTGCCTGCTGGAGTGTGGACTTCCAGAATAACCTGTATAGGATGCTCCCTACCACTCCTTAGAGGAGTGAATCAGAGTGTAACAACCATGTGCACATACCTATCACAGGTTGTAATTTTAAGGTAAATCACAGATATTGTAGCTGGATCCCCTCCATTTTGTAAAACTCCTTTAGACTGAAAATTACAAGTGAAATTAAACTCTAGCCACCTTTTGGTCTCTCTTCCCTCTCCTTATGATTAACCATTAACTGGCTCTACCTGCTTTTGTGGGAACTTGGGAATGTGAAGCCCTGCCGGTACCTCGTATGTAATACCAGCGCTCCAAGCATTTCAGGGGGCCTGTTTTTTTGGAGGCCTATCCCGCCAACTCTCTTAATGGCCATCTGGAATAAAGTCCATGTGTAAAGACATTTCTTGTGGTTCAGAATTTGGCTTTTGATGGGAGGGAAGGGGGAAAAAAAGAATATGGCTTTCTGGGTGCAAGCAAAAGATCCAATTTGGTGGTTTACAACTTCAAAACACTGCCCTTCCTCACGGGGTTGGTGTGAAAACTAACATCGCTCTCAGGTGGTGTGAATTGTTGGTGGGACTACTTTCTTACACAAAGCCACCACTTATCTCTACTGAGGAAAGCCTGACCCTCCTTTCTTGATTTGCTAAATTGCCCTGGGAGCTTCCTTTCACCGTCTCTCTGCTGTGTCTTGAAAGCGTTTTTTTTTTTTTTAATTTTATTTTTATATTCCCCATAAAATTGCAACCCCCTTATTTTGACCCCAATCCCTCCTTTCCCCACCCCCCATTCCCCAGAGAGCGTTTTTTTTTTTTACATTTTGCTTTGTTTTTCATTGACTATCCCTTGCTGGGTGAGGACACCCCACTTTTATTACGTTTTGTGTTGTTTCACTGAAGTTTCTGAACTCAAAATAATGATATCCATGGTGAAAGTGTGGCTTGGAGGCCTGCTTTCATGTCTAGGAGCAATGAGTTTGAAGGATGTAGCACAAGCCCTGACGGTTGGGTTTTCTCTTTTTGTAGCTTTCATGCTGTGGTACCCACTTCAAAGAGGGCTGTGCCAGCCACAGGACCTGATACAGAGCCAGGCCTCCCTCCCAACTGAGGTGCCTTTGTTTTAGAGATCTTGGCTAATTTCAGCACTTGCCCTATTTGAGCTGCTTATTTTCCTTTCTCTTAACTGTGCTTTAAACTCATACTTTTATGATTTTAACACACCATTAATGAGGCCTCTAGGCCCCAGACCTCCACCCTTGGCCCCAATAATTGCGGAACCCTAGACCCTAGCTTTTGCTTCATCTCCCTCTCCTCCCCCACCCCACCTCATTGTTTGGCCCCAGGTGTGCTGGGTAATACCCTCCCCCTCCCCCAACCTGGGGCCAATACACTATTTTAATGTATTTAATTTGAAAAAACACTTATTTTTTCAAAGCTTCTTGATGGCTGTTGCTAAAGGGCTTCTTGCCATCACATTAAGAACCTCCAGAGCTCATTCAGCTGCAACATTGTTTATTGATAGGCAGAGACCAGTATAAAACAAAGAAGTCATCTAAAGGAATTTGTGAAATTGTCATTATCGCTCCCCCCTTTTGTACTTTCTGGAAGCTGAATCTGTTGTTTGGGCAGGGTTTACTAAGCATTGGTAAGGTCTGGAGGATGAGAGGTGACCCGGAGCTGGAGATGGGGAGGACCCCTCCAGGATGGACTTAGGATGATTTGCTGTGGTCTGGGGACAGAGATCTGGAAGGCAGACTTTGGGTACAGTTCTAGCAGCACAAGGCCAGCTCAGCCATATTTTCTTGGCTGTCAGTCAAGAGGGGCCAGGAGTGGTGAGAGGCAGTGTTTCATACAGCAGCTGCAAGAGACTGACTTAGTGTGGGAGCATGTGTGTTGGTGATAATTAGAATAATTAGAACTGGTTTGATTTAACTAAATAATTTGAAATGTTTTGTTATTGTTAGCTAGGCCGTAGTGTGCTGAACTTTCAGAATGAATTAGAATGCACCATGTATTTGATGTGCTATTTGTTTTTTTATACTGTTGGACTTACCTCTCCTTAAATGCCATCTTTTTGTGTCTGTTAATTTGGAGGCTGTGGTGCAAGCTTGTGTGGATAGAAATTCTCCACCTTTCAACTGAGTAGTAGCCATGAACCGAGGAGATAATGAAACTCTTATTCTGGTCTTAGCCTTAATGGTTGGGTTAATGTTGATGATATGATGTGTGTGTTTGCCTCCTTGGGTCTGGATTAGTATATATAAAGAGGACAAAGCTGTACTAGAGGATTCCCTGGGAGTAAGCTTGAATTTCCAGATGGGTGAACTTAAATGACTAGACTTGAATAGGTCACAGAGAGCATGACCAAAGATGGGTTGGGTTGAGGTTAGAGAAGAGAGTAAAGGAAAATTGCTAGAAGCCTTTCCACATGAGTCCTTGGTCACTCATTGTTCTGTGGCTACTCAGAACCATTTAAACTCTGTCTGAAGGAGGGGATCATTGTCATTTTAAATGATTCCAGATGGCTAGAGTTGGTCAACTTTTAGAGATTGCTGTCCTCTGTTCTAACAGATTCTTCACCAACAGAAGAAGCTGATGGCCTTTATGAATCAGTTCTCTTATAAAAGTGACCCTCTCATATATTTTCTTTTAAAAGGAAATTTAAAAAGAGCAGAGGGCCTCCCTGGTGGCTCAAGGGGTTAAGAAGCAACCTGTGACGCTATCCCCAGCCTCTCCTGTCTCTCCTGCTGCTCCCCTCAGCAATGTATTTCAATCAGTCTGCCTGTTCTGTTCCCCACTCCGTCTCTGGTGAATCCTCTCACTCCCCACACCTCTGGCCTTATACCCCAGTTCTTGTATGCATAAATAAATAAATCTTAAATAAAAAGTAAGAGCAGACAACTCAGTTTTCTTAGGCAAAGGAATCCTGTGAAAAAAATAATGTGTTTATGATTTTTGTTCCCTTTGTTTTCAGATCATATGAAAGGATTAAGATCCCCTTCTTTGAAAAGAAGGTTGGAGTGCAGGTAATTTATTTTGCTACTTAGTTGTATGTTTTTTAAAGTAAACATTTTCATTGCGCTGTAAAAAGTATAGAAAAGTGAATACAGGGCCTCCCTGGTGGCATAAAGGGGTAAGCAACGCACTATGAAGCAGTCTGCAGCCCCTGCAGCAGAGTTAGATCCCTGGCTGGCCAGGGGGCAACCCACATGGCTCAGCAGACCCTTCCTGTCTCTCCCGCTGCTCCCCTCAGCAGTGTATTTCAGTCAGTCTGCCTGTTCTCTTCCCCACTCTGTCTCTGGTGAATCCTCTCACCCCCTGCACTTCTGGCGTGTACCCCAGCTCTTGTATGCATAAATAAATGAATCTTTTTTAAAAAAAAAGTGCATGCATCATGAAGGACAGACGAGTGAACATTTACAAATGAACACATCTGTATAGCTGCCACCCAGATCAAGACATAGGACAACAGCTGTCTCCGAGGACAAACCTCCCAGTCAGAGCCCTCACCCAAAGGTCATTCTGTTCTGACTTTTGTCATCATGGGTCAGTGTTAGCTGTTTTTGAACTTTACATACACAAAATAACACTGAATAGGGTCTTCTGTTTTCTTTCATATTTGTATGACTCATCTCTGCTCCTGGCTGTGGCAGTCATTTGTTCATTTTTGTTTCTATAAGTGTGTGTATGACTGCTCTGTTATAAAGAATCACATACGCTTGTTGGATCTTTTCTAAAAGCTGAACTGTTGCATGCTTTTCCTGCAGCCACTGCCTGAGTCTAAGTTCCATGTTGCCAAGATAGTATTTGGAAAGACCCTACTGACTTTTTGACTTTGAATCAGTGGGTCTCAGGCTTCACCGCTAAGTGATACCAGTAGTCTTTGATTTCGATAATGAAAGTTAATACTAACAGAGTATTTACATTTATGCTGGTCACTACATATTTATAGCCTAGATGTTTCTTTTAGTGCCTGTATGACCTAGGCACTGTACTGGATGTTGAGGTGTTTTTGGGGTAAAGTATGTCCTGAGCTAATTCCATACAGGCTTTGTGGATTCCACCCCCACCCCAGGCCAAAGCCATCAAGACATTGGGAAAGACAAATCCCGTCACCACCAAAGGAAAGGTGGCTGGGACCTGAGGGTGGAGTTAAGCAGCCAGGTTGGGTATAAAAACCAAACACGTGGGGCTTGGGGGCCCTCTCGCTCGCCTCCTGGCTTCACGGCTCCTGGCTTGCGGCCAGCTCTCAGAGGCCATTTGGGGTTCCTGATCAGCGCATCAGGTAGGACGCATTCAAAACTTTGTCTCCCACTTTTCTCCCTGAGTTGTACATTTCCTCATTTGCCCTTCCCTTGTGAATAAACCTTTTATTAACCTTTCTTGTGTGCCTGCAATAGAGTATTGATAAGTCCTTTTAAGCGCGCGGGTGAGGACCCATATTCAGGCAACCCGTTTTGTATCAGGGCTGCCCTGTAACAGTGTGACAGTGAGCCACACCAGTGAGAATCCCTGTGTTCTTGGTGCTGATATCCTCTTCAAAGCCTCCTGACAACCTTTTGAATAGATCTTATTATGATTTCTATTTTACAGATGAGGAAACTGAGGAGCCAGAGAGGTTAAATTAGTTGCTCAAGGTCACTCAGCCAGTCAGTGGCAGGACCAGGATTTCAACCAGGTCTGTGTCATTTTAGAACCCGTGTATTGGTTCTCTTGCTGCGTAACAAATTGCCCCAAATTTGGTGGCTGAAAATAGCACTAACCGTGTATTGTTTCTCTCCATTTCTGCAGTCAGAATTCTGGTAGCATTGGGTGGGATGGTGGGCTCTGCCTGACTGGGTGGTAGAGGGGACTAACATTATCTGAAGGCTCATCATCCACTGTCAGACATCTGGGCTGGGGCTTCTGGCACCTCTCTGTCTCTTGCAAGTCTCTCTAGAATGGTAGTTTCAGGAGAGCTGATACGTAAGTGGAAAATCAGGGCTTAAAAGGCATATGTCCCAGGGCCTCCCCTGGTGGCGCAGCGGTTGAGCGCTGGGTTGTGAAGCTGCCTGCAGCCTCTGCAGCGCTGGTTTGATCCCCGGCCACCGGCGAGGGTCCCACATGGCGCGACAGACCTCTCCTGCTGCCCGCTGCTCCCCTCAGCAGTGTATTTCATCAGTCTGCCTGTTCTGTTCCCTGCTCTGGCTCTGGTGAATTCTCTCACCCTCCCGTGCTTCTGATTGTACCCAGTGCTTGTATAAATAAATAAATAAATCTTAAAAAAAAGGGGGGTGTATGTCCCAAGAGACAGATGCTTGGCAATATGGTAAGCAGGAGGCCATATTCGCCGGACATTGAGCTTAGAAAGTCCTGCCATGTTACTTCCATCACATTCTGTAGGTTAAGGCTGAAACAAACACCTGCCCAAGTTCAAGGGGAGGTTAAAATAGACCCCACCTGTCAATGGGGGAAAGGAATTTCCATGTTCAATTTGTAAACAGAGCATGTGTGGGTGGGGTACTTATTAGTGTAGCTCTCCTTGGGACTGTCAGAGACTAGACTCCTAACCTCTAAGTTATGCTGTTGAATTTAAAAAATTTATTATGAAATTACTTTTGGCTCACTAATAGAATGGCCTCCATTGAAGTGAATGTAGAAGGCTTCTGTCCTGCACACTCCCATTCTTGGAGTTAGCTTAATGTTTGGTGTGTCTTTTCAGAAATACCTGGTCATGTGCAAACGTCTTTAGCATAACTGGTGAAGGACAGACTCCCTTTTGAGGGGTCAGAAGGCACATGAAACATTTTCTTCATCTTCTTCCCTTGTCCCTTCACACTCTTGGTGGGGTGGAGATGGTCATTGGAGTGTTGGCATATTGGGAGCCACTGTAACATTTTTGTACCAGCTCAGTTTCTGAATTGAATTATTTGAGAAAAACTGCTATATGATTACATGTATTTTCTAGTCACCCAAGTGACTCATGGATTATACTGAAACTGTTCTTTTTTTTTTCTCTCTTGCAGCTTGAAGGTTTACTTATACTGTTCTCCTGTTACTAAAGAGTTGTTGCTAACTAACCCAAAGTACAAATTTTGGGAGAATAGAATTGTAAGTTTTACGTTTTGAATGATACTGATTCTTTTTTTCTAAGTGGGAAATATTTTTCAAGGTAAAGTGACAAAAAACATGGAATATTAAAAGCCCAGTTCCTCACATACTGTATTTGACCCATATTAATCTCAATATTGATAATTAGTCTTTCGTAGTTTAGCAGTTGAGGTTGATGTTTTCTTGTTTGATTTTTTTTGTTTGTTTATTTGTTTTTCTTGTCCCTCAACAGTTTGATCAGGGTTCTTAGTTTTAATTTCATTTACTTTGTTGTTAAGATGCATTTTACTCTTTAAAGTGTGAAATGTTCTTTTATGTCTTTGATTTTTATTTAGATCGTGGGATGGACTAGAAAAAATTAACACAATTTATGGATTTTAATAAGAAAAGGGTAATAACCAGAATAAAATAGAATGTTTGACTTTGAATATGGCACAATAAAATGGCTCTTTCCAATGGAAGATAGATAGTAAAAAGAAGCAAAACAAAGGTATGGTACATAGAGAGTAAGAAGATGGCATTCTAGTATAACAGTAGTTACTATGGTGGATACTAGAAATATGAATGGATTTAATTCATCTCTCAAACAAAAGACAAATTTTCAGTTTGGGTTGAAAAATAAGATCCAGGGCCTCCCCGGTGGTGCAGCGTGGTTGAGCACAGCGCTGTGAAGTTGTCTGCAGCCTCTGCAGCGCAGGATTCCCGGCTGGCCAGGGAGATTCCCACATGGCGCAGCAGACCTCTCCTGTCGTGCCCACTGCTCCCCTTAGCAGTGTATTTTGGTCCTTCTGCCTGTTCTGCTCCCTACTCTGTCTCTGGTGAATCCTGTCACCCTCCCATGCCTCTGGTTTCCAATGGTGCATCAGTTTTCATTTCTACCAACAAGTGGTAATTCACCGAAAGATAAAAATTACTTTCATTCATCAACTTCTTATTGATTGCCTCGCCATGCCAATTGCTGGTCTAGGGAAATGTGCAGGTACTCTGCAGACCTCTGTGGCACTCGAGTCTGTGGACTAGGCCGTGTCATGAAGTGGTCCTGCCTGATCTGCAGACTAAACCTGATCACATGGGATATGTGATGTCGTGTTTTACAAATATGCAAGCTCAGAGGGAGGGAGGGTTAGATGTAGTAGGGGTGGGAGATTGAGGAAAATTGAATCCATGGAAATAGAATTATCAAAGGATATATAAACTTGCCAGACACTTAATATGTATTGTCACCTTTGCTTCAAGGATGATATTATTTTAGCCTTATATTTTAAAGCAGTAAAACATTAGAGTGAAAGCAGAAATTTTTTTTTAAAGATTTATTTATTTATTTATACAAGCACTGGGTACAGTCAGAAGCACGGGTGGGTGAGAGAATTCACCAGAGCCAGAGTGGGGAACAGAACAGGCAGACTGACGAAAGGCACTGCTGAGGGGAGCAGTGGGTGTGGCAGGAGAGGTCTGTCGCGCGCGCCATGTGGGACCCTCACCGGTGGCCAGGGATTGAACTGGCACTGCAGAGACTGCGGGCAGCTTCACAGCCCAGTGCTCAACCGCTGCGCTAACAGAGGCCCTGAAAGCAGGAAATTTTTTTTTTTTATAGAGGCATGTTTTATTTATTTATTTGTTTGTTTGTTTGTTTATACATGCACTGGGTACAGTCAGAAGCGCGGGAGGGTGAGAGAATTCACCAGAGCCAGAGCAGGGAGCAGAGCAGGCAGAAGGACCGAAGTACACTGCTGAGGGGAGCAGCGGGCGGCAGGAGAGGTCTGCGCGCCATATGGGATCCTCCTCCAGTGGCTGGGGAGCAGCCGGGGATCGAACCGGCGCCACAGAGGCCGCGGGCAGCTTCGCAACCCAGTGCTCAACTGCTGCGCCACCGGGGAGGCCCAAAGCAGAAATTTTTTATAGAAAGTTTGTGATTTCTTCTCTTAGTCGCCTTTCTGTGTTTGAGATGACTTCATGTAGTCATGAAAAATGTGAAAATATGTGGTATATTTACATGATCTCTTAATTTTATTTTTAATAGCTATCAATTGAAATTGATACTCCTACCCAGATATGTCTAGTTGATGAAGCATCAGGAGAGGTAACTGTTAAATATTGTTTGTTTAAAAATATATTATTTAGTGCTAAAATTATTATCTTTCTCCTTGATTTTGAATGTTCATTCAGACATAAATAAAAATGATAATTGAGTGAGTTTTTAGGAAAAACTTTTGCGATTTATTTTCTACATTCAAAGGATTGAACATAATTGCTCCTTTTTAGTATTACATGCTAAGGATGAGAACTACGTTGTTGATTTTACTACTTTATAGTATTAAATTGCTCCTTTTTAGAATTACATGCTAAGGATGAGAACTACAGTTGCTCATGTTACTACTACACTGTCACTGTCACATTTGTTGCATTTATTGCAAGGCCCAGGATATAAAATGGTGTTTAAATATTATGTATGTTGTGATTTGTTTTCTCAATCACTTGCAGGCCCCCTCCTTCCCCATTTTAAAAGGACAGATTTATTAGGAAAAAGAGAGAAACAGATGGGCAGGAGAGCTGCTGAATCACTTTCTTATTCAGGAAAAAGATGCTCTCCAAGTGTACTTAATTAATTTTTGTCCTTACATTTAGAAGTAGGTATTCTTGCGTTGAGTTTTTTTTTAATAGTGAGTAGGGCGATCAACCTACCTTTTATTAATATTTTTTTTCACTTCCAGTTGTATTTAGGGTTAGGAGGTATTTTCCTGTTGTATGGCAAATCTAGTTAATTTGCTCTGTAACTGGATTATTACCTACTTTGCCGATGTGTCTAATTCGGAGGGGTGTCCTTTGTCCTATAGCTGTGATCGGGCAGAGACTGGACTCCCTGTTTCCTGTTTGGCGAAGATCAGGCATTTGAAGTTCACTGAGTCCTCACTTAACATAGTTGATTGGTTCTTGGAAACTAGATGAAAGGACATAAACGAAAGCGGATCCTTTAATAACCTCTTCCTTCTATATTAATGTGCATGGTGTTCTTATCAACATTATAACTAAACAGCATCATTTGAGGACCTGCTGTACTAATCATGTTACTGTCCTGAGGGAGGACTGTAGAACTGATTTAGGGCAGTGAACATAGATGTAGAAGTTTTTGTGTGGACAGATATTTTCATTTCCTGTGTATCCCAAGAGTGGAATTGCTAAGTCTTGTAATTCTATATTTAACCATTTACTTTGTAGGCAAGGATAGCCACAGAAAATTTGTTTTCAGTATTTGAAGAATAAGGAAATGAGGGAGAAAAAGGATATCTCATTTTTGAGAAGTACTTGCTTATTTTCTTTTAAGAGCTTTAACGGGATTCCTAGTGACAACTTCTGTTATCCTCTTTTTTTCCTTTTCTTTTTAGAAGGAAGAGATTGCTGTGACCCTCTTGCCAGCTGGTCATTGCCCAGGATCAGTTATGTAAGGGGGCTCATTTATTTTGCCATTTTATTATATGTAGATATGTATTACATTTGTAGAAATAAAACTTTAGGATCTAGAAAGTAATATGTATATGATTTGATTATTCTTCTGGAAATATCTGTAATTTGTAATCTTTGTTTCCAATTTAAACTTGGGGGACTGAGACAAAGATCAGGTTTGAAAAGTGGCTTTCAGGGCCTCCCTGGTGGCGCACAGGGTTAAGTACAACACTATGAAGCAATCTGCAGACTCTGCAGCACGAGTTCCATCCCCGGCCCACCAGGGAGCAACCCACATGGCGAAGCAGACCTCTTCTGTCTCGCCTGCTGCTATCCTTAGCAGTGTATCTCAGTCAGTCTGCCTGTTCTGTTCCCCACTCTGTCTCTGGTGAATCCTCTCACACATACCCCCCACCCCCGCATCTCTGGCCTGTACCCCAGCTCTTGTATGCATAAATAAATCTTAAAAAAAAAAAGGCTTTCTTACAGTGGAAGCCTTCAATAGCCATTTCTCCACTGACTTTGCATTTTCTAATCACATGAATTTTTCTCTTCATAAATAGGTATGATCTCAATATATAGTTGAGAGTGCTGAATTTATTAGGGGATAGCCATTGTGTTACTTTTTTTCTGTCTAGGGATGTACTGGCAGCTGAGTGCTAGGTATGGTCTGGAGCCATTAAAATTCCATGAACACTGTTATAGTAGCTGTGTTTGACGGAATATGTTTGCTGTGGATTTAGCATGTATTTGCTTTATTAGGATCTTTAGCAGTCACTGAAATCTATTTCCTTTTCAGGTTTTTATTTCAGGGCAGTAACGGAACTGTCTTGTACACAGGGGACTTCAGATTGGCAAAAGGAGAAGTTGCCAGAATGGAACTACTGCACTGTGGGGGCAGGTACAGGGCCTTGCATAACTCCTAATGGAAGACCGTGTCATTTGAAAAAGTCTTGTTTGCTTTCTTCCCTCAACACGTTTGTTTCTATTAAAAACTGGACTTGAATGTTTGCAATAGTAAAGCAAATTTTCTATTTGAAATGGGGTTGATTGGGTTGGTAGTTGCATGAATTGATCAAAATTTACTGACATATATGCAAACATGTATTGTATGGTATGAAAATCATTTCCCTACCGAGTTGATTTAACTGAAAAATTTAAAATGGAATCAAACACCTTATAAAACATCTGAGCGTTTAACTTTTACACAGATTTTATGTCACATTAGATCATTAACACAATTTCTTTTTTGTTTTCAGAGTGAAAGACATACAAAGTGTATACTTAGATACTACCTTCTGCGATCCAAAATTTTATCAAATTCCAAGTCGGGTAAGTCTTTCTGGAGAAACAAGGTGATAACCTGGCTGTGACCTTGTTTCTAGTTGGAGGTTTGCAGGAGAATAAATCAGGTCATAATTGTCCCCATTTGGCTGGGAAAGGACAGGGTGACATTCTTAAAATTATTTAAATGTCTTTTACAAATCCTGCCCAGGCGGAGTGTCTGAGTGGAATAATAGAGCTGGTTCGAAGCTGGATCACTCGGAGTCCCCACCATGTCGTGTGGCTGAACTGCAAAGCAGCGTACGGGTATGAATATCTATTCACCAACCTCAGTGAAGAATTTGGAGTACAGGTATGGTGATGGCTCTTTTTTTCTGTCACTCTCCCCCATCCTCTCAGATGTATTGCCTCCTGGGAGGAATTCACAGAGCCCAAATGCCAGGAAGAACCCTTGGGTGTAATGTCCCACAGGAGGAGGATTTTGTCAATTGTGGTTTAGGAATGAAGTATAGTGATTGTGACCGGCATGGAAAATAAATTTGCACTGGAAAATATGAGTGTATTGCTTGCAGTGATATTATTAGCATGTGGATGTGAGTGATGCCCCGTTCCCACAGTGCTCACACAGGGAGTGGCTTCTCCTTTAGCCTCCTTAGAGAAGGTTTTTCTGGCAATGACCAAACAAAAGGACATGCTGGAATTGGGACAACATTTCACTGGCTACTCTTGTGTTTTACCTTTTAATACTGATCCCTCAGCTAACAAACTTGTGCCAAGAATTTAACGAGGTACATGTGTAATAAATAAAAAAATCTGCTTTTCCGGCGTTTGAATTCATTCCCTAGTGTCCTGCCACCCTTTGTTAATTAGTGTTGAGGAAAAACTGAGAATCAAAGCACAATATATGGTGCTCAGTAGTAACAACAACAAAATGCTCCCTCCCTCTTTAAGTCTTTGCTTCCTAAGTCGTTCTTCCCTTAATTTCTTCCATTTACAAGCCTTTCTGCCGAAATATAAAGTTGCCAGTTCTCCACTTGAGGAAGGCTTTGCTTCCACTCTGAGATTGTCTTTTCCATGTTTCTTGTTATTAAAATGGTGTATACTTATCTGTAGTATCTTATCTGCTTTTTTTTTTTTTTTTTCTTTTGTCCTCTCAGCCAAATATAAAGACAGCAGTCACTTACTGGTCTCAAATTTGCATTGTAAATCTTAGTGGTGTGTGAAGTCGAAAAGACTGCAAGCTCCTGCGCCAGTGGTCTGGCATAAGGGAGCCATGGGCTGAGGGGGGCCTAGCCGATGTGGGGAGCAGCCTCCATAGCAGCTCTTTCATGGTGGCCTCAGAGTCGCCCTGGAGGCAGCCTGTCTTGGGGTCTCTTAATCCCTTTGCAGGGATAGAGTCAATTTCAGATCAGGAATTGAAAAAGGGACAACAATGGGATTTGTGAGTAAAGGACCTCAGAAAATGATCGATGGCAACTTTTCAGGCTTTTTTATTTTTGTGAGGATGAAAGTTTCTCTTTCTCCACATGTCAGAATTTACCCCTTATCTTAGTCCTGAAAAGCAAATTTATTGTTAATTCTTGTTATTCATTAGTAAACAAGTGGTGAGAGGAAGAGACTGCGGGATAAGTAAGCACTCACTCTTTTTACACTTGTCTCTCTACTGCCATAGCAATTTGACGTTATTCTGTTTTATTAGACTTTGAAATGAGACTTCTCCACCCCCCCCCCATTCACTGTCTTAATATCAATTTAGGTGCTTGTTACTTACTTCATAGTACCAAAGAAAAGCAGCTTTGGGTAAGACAGACACATTGGTTTTAACATTTTAAAATATTTGTCTTACAATTCTAAAAGAATTCTACCCCTCCCCGCCCCAAGTCTGTCCTCTCCTTTTAAACCAGCTGAGTGGTGTGTGGTAAGGGAGTCTTGGCTCTCCCACCTCCGAGTCCAGTTGACATCTTCCTAAGAGCTGCCCGTAGAGGGCGTGTTCTGTTTATGTCTTTATCAGTAAGTCGTTCTTGATGGTTTTTATCTGCTGTATTCACTGCTGTATTCCCAGTATTTAGAAAAAATTTTGATCTAGAGGAGAGGGGCACCATAAATAGTAATGTAAAGTCTCTTGATGGACTGAGGACAATACTAGTATAATCCAGTGAAACCCACAAACTGCGCCTCTGTGATTTTTCATTTCCACCAACGATAGGTGGTATTCCTGACAGGTAGGGGCAGCTCTTCGCCCTTTACCTGCTGACATCCTGGCAGAACACTGATATGCACTGAAATTATTCAAAAACTAGGTTTCAAGAAAGAAAAATAGTAACTAGCCAGATGATTTGCCCCAGCATAATTACCCTTGAACAATTTATAGGAAATACATTTCCCCAAATAGGCTTTTATTTTATTTTCTTTAGGTTCACGTGAATAAACTCGACATGTTTCGAAACATGCCCGACATTCTTCATCATCTCACAACAGACCGTAGCACTCAGATTCATGCGTGTCGGCACCCAAAGGTACAGAGTAAATTGTTTTTCTTATTGTGTTATCCATGGGAATTTTAGATCTAGAAGGAACCTTAGAAATTTCATTTTCTAGGCTCCTTAAATTAGACATAATAATTGAGGCTGAGATTCCTAGGATTTTAAGCCCATGGTGATGCAGTTGTACATGGTTGTATTCCATTACCATAAACTTCGTAATTTGTAAATAGACACAGAAAACTTATTTTTTAACTAAGTTATTTATACACATTTGGTACATCTTAATGAATTATGTAATGAACAGCTTGTAATGAGATTAGTAATAAATTATAGCACATAATTTAAGAAACCATTAATTCATTCCTTTTATTTTTTTGAGATGATGTGCACTTTACCAGCATTATTTTTCTTCTTCTCATTTGAGATAAAAATCCAGATATAACTTGGCTTGGAACTTTGAAATATTTACATGTGTTGATGGTCCAGTTTCAATTGAATGTTTCTAGTGTCTTTGCCACTCGTAATTTGTTTTCGGATGCCAGCATAGAACTCCTATTATTTTGAATTTGTTTTTAACATTTTTAAAAATTTTAATTTAGTCATTCAACATCACTGATATTCACTAGTGATTTTCAAACAGTGGTATGGGTGATCATACATTTCCTCTATATTTTAAAGTATCTTACACTCAAATGAGTAACATGAGTAGCATGTCTATGTATCCCACATATATATTTTAGTATCCACTGCATTTATACATTTATTTATTTTTAAAAAGATTTATTTATTTATTTATACAAGCACTGGGTACAGTCAGAAGCGCGGGAGGGTGAGAGAATTCACCAGAGCCAGAGCGGGGAGCAGAGCAGGCAGAAGGACGGAAGCACACTGCTGAGGGGAGCAGTGGGCGGCAGGAGAGGTCTGCGCGCCATGTGGGACCCTCCTCTGGTGGCCGGGGAGCAGCCGGGGATCGAACTGGCGCTGCAGAGGCTGCAGGCAGCTTCGCAACCCAGCGCTCAACCGCTGCGCCACCGGGGAGGCCCTCCGTTTATACATTTAGATAATCATTGTGGTAGTAACATTGGCTCTTCAGGCAAAAACTATGTTGCCCAACCCTAAAATAAAGCATAATTTTAAACAAAACAATTTTTATCTACAGACTGTTTTACTTCAGGTCTCAATATAAGTGAGCTACACAGTAAGAAATTACTTTTGATGATTGGTAAGCTATATAATTCATGAATTTATTTCATTTTGTGTGTGTGGGTATACATACGTATGCACACATATACATAAGTATATGCACATACCCATTGAATTCATGGAAGTATAAAAATATAGTTACAAAACAAACTTTTTTTTTCTTTTGGACTTGTCCTATTAAGTCTTTTTATTGGCAAATTTCTTTTTGCTGTGTATTTTCTCATAGCCCACTGAATACCTTAATTTGTAACTGCTAATCTTGTACTTTCCTTGGAACACTTCTAGTGGCTTTTGGCATTTCTTAGATCACATAGCCTTAAAATACTGATTAAAAACAGAGCCTGCAGAGCTCTCATCCACTGCCTTATGTACAGCCTCATCAGAAACAGCATCAGAGGCCCTCAGTGACATTTGATTTGGGTGGAATGCTAATGGTTTTGAAGGATCCATATCTAAACATAATGTCTTTGGAAAAATAGTCCCCTAATTTTTCAACCTTTATAAAACACCTTTGTTACTTTTTTCTCCTACTTTATTTTGAAAATTTTAAGACCGTCAAGTTGTAAGACTAGTACAAAAACACCATGCAGTCTTCATTTGTATTCTCCAGTCAGCACTTCCTCCTCCAACCCATTTGAGACTCAGCTGTAGACTTTATGACTCTTGGCCCTAAACTGTCAGCACATACTGCTGTAGAAGCATGTGTTTTCATGCATAAGCACAGTACTGCCCACTTTCAGAATTGACATTGATATTGTAATACTAGATATTTGATAGTGCATAATCAGATTTCCCCAGTTGTGTCAAAATGGTCTTTTATAGTTTGTGGAGTGGGGAAGAGGAGCATTTGGGGTTTAAGAATTGGGTAGTATTCACTCATGCCTCTTTTGTCAGGGCTCCCACCTTTTAAAGGTTTTCTTCTAAGAATCCAGGCCAGATATTTTGCAGAATGTTGCTTAATTTGGAATCGTGATCATTTCCTCATGTATACATTTTTTTCCTGTCTAAAAACTTATCTCCATTTGTTCTTGAGACTGTGCCCATAAACATATTTCATGAAAATGTTGAACTGTTTTTCTATATATTTTAAAATCTTTTTCAGGCAGAGGAATACTTTCAGTGGAGCAAATTACCCTGTGGAATGACTTCCAAAAATGGAATTCCACTCCACACAATCAGCATTAAGCCATCCACTATGTGGTTTGGAGAAAGAAACAGAAAAACAAATGTAATCGTGAGGTAAGAAAACAAGGTTTTAGACATCTTTTGAGAGATGTTTTGCTTTGAGGTACATTGATAATAGTTTAAATGTAATCTAGTGCAAGTCCAAGAAGAGAATATAATTGTGGAAAATAATTTCTGAATGTTAATAGTTTAAATGTAATCTAGTGTAAGTCCAAGAAGAGAATATAATTGTGGAAAATAATTTCTGAATTTAACCTGTTTAAAGAGACTTGCTGGGCCTCCCCGGTGGCGCAGTGGTTGAGCGCTGGGTTGCGAAGCTGCCCACAGCTTCCGCGGTGCCGGTTCGTTCCCCGGCTGCTCCCCGGCCACCGGAGGAGGGTCCCACATGGCGCGCAGACCTCTCCTGCCGCCCGCTGCTCCCCTCAGCAGTGTACTTCGGTCCTTCTGCCTGCTCTGCTCCCCGCTCTGGCTCTGGTGAATTCTCTCACCCTCCCACACTTCTGACTGTACCCAGTGCTTGTATAAATAAATAAATCTTTAAAAAAAAAAAGAGAGACTTTGCTTCTAATCTAATGCCTAATACCCATCAGTCCATTTCCTGAGGTCTGCTGTAGTTAGGTAGATAATATGGTTGGAAACTGCGTGTGTCTTGTTTGGTAAGGAGTTGTAAGTTGATGTTGTGGAGAACAGAAGCCCTTGGTGGGGTAGAGGAGTACCTTAAGATCATCATATTCTAGAAACATTTCCTTAATACTGACTGTTCATAAGGTTGGCAACCTATTTATATTTTTGGAAAGAGTTCCCCTCCTGCCTTGATGATAGGTGGTTTCATTTGAGTAGTCTAAAGCAGGAAGACTCAAACTTGAGAACTTGGTTGGTTTGGATAAGTGAAATTGTTTTTTCATTCCCCTTTAGGACTGGCGAGAGTTCATACAGAGCATGCTTTTCTTTTCACTCCTCCTACAGTGAGGTAAGAGGATCGCGTGTACTTAAGACATCACGACTTACTACTCTTCATGGCTGAGAACAGTAGTCCCCTGGACTTTTACAGGCGTCTTTTTCTACTGCTTAACATTTATTGTGGCATTTCCTATAGACATGCAGGGAGAATATCTCAGTGGATGAGGTAAATACACAGGAAGTTGCTATTATCTCCTGTTCTCAGCCTCAACATGGAAGAATATGTATGATTAAGGTTTTCTTCCCATCTTGCTCCCTAAATTTATTTCTAACTTCCCTGCTTTAGTAGTTTTGTTCATCTATCATGAACGAATAAAAAATCTTATTGAGGAAGTACTATAGATAAAAGCTCATTATGACAAACCTTCAGGTACTTTCCAGATTTTTGGTCTCTTCCAAAATGTCACTGTTCTGAAAGCCATTTAATAACTAGTTCTGGATATTCAGCAAAGCAGAATAATAAAGATGATTGAGATATAGACCTCCTTCTTAAGAGGAACATATTATATTGGAATTGCTCAGTTTAAGGAGGATTAAAATGTTTTTTGTTATGGTACTTTTTATATAAGAAATTGACTGCTACACCACCAGCAACTTGATATATGAAAATACACATGTATTTTCAAAGTATTAGCAAATACAGAGATTCAGTAATTTCATGTATTAGATAAAAAGCAATATAAAAGCAAGCTTTTATGACACTTTAGGTCATAGATAAGTTTAGTGGTACCATTTCTGCACCTAAAAATCTCTTTCCTGGTAAATGTTATTTTTGTACTTGGGATACATGGATACAGCTCTTCAGTAGTGAGCCATAGGTCTGTTAATGATGTGAACAATGGAGTCTTGTAAAGTGCTAGGTAGTAGCATTCTTACCAAGTCAGCCATAATACTGTAAATGATTCTTCACTATATTCCCAAAAATATCACAGTGACATCTTTATTAAATAACTGGCCTTAACTTTCAGGTACAAGGAGCTTTTGAAGTTACTCATTTTGATGGTATCATTTAGCTAGTGTTTGTCAACTTATTCTGGCTCTTGCCTGGGTTTGGCATTTGGCACAGCATCAGTGTCCCTTCCTATTAATCACTCAGTGGGTGAGTTCCTTTCTGTTTCAGTCCTAGGGAGGACACCCAGTCAAGAAAAAGGGTAGACCTTACCTTTTCAGTTAAAATTACTCATCTCCTTTCTCTTCTTCAATGTAGTTAGAAGCTAAGTTGGGATGCATAAGCCTCCTGAGATTTTGTAAAATTACCTCTCAATAAGGAGGTTATTTCTCTGATATTTGCAAAGAGAGAGGATGCAGCTGACTGCCTTCCTTTCTTCCTGCTCTCCTGAGATACAAGCTAGTTGGTAAGAGGCTTTCCTGCAGACTGCATTTATAATGGTCTGTATCCATAAGACATTTAAATAAATTTAAAAACATAAACTCTAGGTTTAAACCTCATTTCATTTCAGATATTTTTTCTAAATACAGTTGATTTCTCATTAATCATGCATTCTATATTTGCAAATTTGCGTACTCACTAGAATTTGCTTATAACCCCCCTAATCAGTATTAGTGGGGCTTTGTGGTCATTTGAAGACATGCACCAGAGTGGTAAGAAATTTGAGTCACCATGGGCCTCCCTGGTGGCGCAGCGGTTGAGCGCTGGGTTGCGAAGCTGCCCGCAGCCTCTGCAGTGCCAGTTCGATCCCCGGCTGCTCCCCGGCCACCAGAGGAGGGTCCCACATGGCGCGCAGACCTCTCCTGCCGCCTGCTGCTCCCCTCAGCAGTGTACTTCAGTCCTTCTGCCTGCTCTGCTCCCCGCTCTGGCTCCGGTGAATTCTCTCACCCTCCCACACTTCTGACTGTAACCAGTGCTTGTATACATAAATAAATAAATCTTTGAAAAAAAAATAAGAAAGAAAGAAAAAAAACCTGAAAAAAAAAAAAAAAAGAAATTTGAGTCACCTGGACTTACAGGTATCCAACAAGATGGTGGCAGAGTAAAGCCCACAACTGCAGTAAAATAAAGCCAAAAACTCTGAGGGAAATATGGATAGCCACAGCACACACTTGGAATAACACTGACAGAAAAGGTAGGAAGAACTCTAAGCGAACTCTGTTCATAGTAATACTGGGACAGTACTGGCGCCAAGAGGGAGGAGCAGCTGCTGTACAAAGTGACCTCCAGTTGTTGACTTGTGCACTGCTGAGATCTGGGGCTGCACTGGAGAGGGTGCTGCATGCATTGGCACCCAGGATGAAGGGTGCACTGTTGGAAAGCTGAAGGTGTGGTGATTTAGAGTGAGGGTTACTGGCTTGAGCCTGAGGCACTCCACATAGAACAGCTGGGGCCTGAATTGGCAGGGAAAAGCAGGTGGGAGCACTGTATGCTGTTAGAAATAGAAAACCCTAAAAACTCCATCAAAAAATTACTAGAAATAATGAAGGAACAGAGCAAAGAGGCAGGTGACAAAATCAACATAAAAAAATCCCTAGCCTTTTTATATACAAACAGCAGACAAGAAGCAAATAAATTAATAACTAATATTTATTATTAATTCCATCTATAATTGCTTTAAAAAGATCTATATATCTCAGAGTTAACCTATGGAGGGAAAAGATCTATACAGGACCTTTGAGATGTTATTAAAGGACTTGGATAGTGACAAAAGTGGAAGGAGATCTCATGCTCACAGATGGGGAGAATCAATATAATCAATGTTGCTATCTTGCCTAGAATGATATATAATTCGGTGCAATCACCATCAAAAGACCACCAGTATTTTCCAAAGAAATTGAAGAAATAATATTGAAACTGATAATATGAAGCTTCAAATGGCCTCAAATTGGAAAAGCAACCTGGAGAGAAAAGAAGGTATCATGTTATCTGACTTCAAACTTAAATATACAGTAACAGTACTAAAAAAAACTATGATGTTGGCACAAAAATAGATACCTGAATCAGTGGAATAGAATTGAAAGCCTGGAAATAAATCTCTATACGTACCAGCACCTAATTTATGATAAAGCAGCTGACCATAAATAAAATGGCAAAACAGCAGTCTCCTTAGTAAATGGTGATAAGAAAAGTGGAAAGCCACATATAAAAGAATGAAGTTGGATCGCTTGGTAACCACGTACACAAAAATAAAACCCAAATGGATTAAAGATTTAGATGTAAGATCTGCAATTATGAAATACATAGAAGAAAACATTAGCAATATGTCCCATGATATCAGCATAAAAGTATTTTTGGTGGCTCAATCCCTATGACAGGGGAATTAAAAACAATTTGGATTACCTCAAGTTAATAAGCTGTACAGTGAAAGAAAAGAGGTTTAAAAAGACATCATATTGAATAGGATAAAATGTACAATACAGACTGAGCAGCAGTTAATACCCATAATAAAAAAAATTCATACAATTAAACAATAAAAAATAACCAAATTAATAAATGGGCAGCAGATATAAACAGTTAACCAAAGAGGATCTTCAAAGCCAGCAGATGTGAAAATATGGTTGCTTTCAGGAACAGAGAGGTAGGTTAAAAGCAGAGTAAGGTACCATATCTCACCCATTTGAGAATGGCATATTCAAGACGGCCAACAAGTAGTGGAAAGGATGTGGAGAATAAGAAATGCTGTTACACTGCTGGCGTGTGACCTGGCAGTCCCCCTGTTGGGCATATATCCAAGGAATATGAAACCATTAACACAAAGCCCATGTGTTCCCAGGAGCATTATTTGCAATAGCTTGTTTCTAGGACATGGAAGCAGCCTAAATGTCCAACAGAGGTTGACTGGATCAAAACGATGTACATCTACGCCATGGAGTATTATATAGCCGTAAGAATGAACTGCATTCATTTTCAACATGGAGGGAGTTTGTGAGAATATTGTATATAGTAAAGCAAGTCAGAACCATAAAACAAATGCCGGACATATACACAACAATTTGATAACAAAACCAAATTTAAAATACTAGTGGAGGGCCTCCCTGGTGGCGCAGCGGTTGAGCGCTGGGTTGCAAAGCTGCCGGCGACCTCTGCGGCGCCGGTTCGATCCCCGGCTGCTCCCCGGCCACCTGAGGAGGGTCCCACATGGCGCGCAGACCTCTCCTGCCGCCCGCTGCTCCCCTCAGCAGTGTACTTCGGTCCTTCTGCCTGCTCTGCTCCCCGCTCTGGCTCTGGTGAATTCTCTCACCCTCCCGCGCTTCTGACTGTACCCAGTGCATGTATAAACAAAACGAACAAACAAACAAATAAATAAATAAAAACATGCCTCTATAAAAAAAAAAAAAAAAAAAAAAAAAAAAAAAAAAAAAACTAGTGGACATCAATAAACATGATGAGGACTCTGAGGTTAAGTTGGAGGAGAGGGAAAGGGACATGGGGACATACGGGCTGGTGGTGTCAAGACAGACAAACTCCTAAATCTGAAAAAGTTTAAATGAGTTATTTGCAGGAAAAATAGTTGCCTGGTATACACATTTCCATTCTGATTTCTTGCTTTAGCGCTTTAAACAACTGTCCTTTTCATATATATATTTTTTTAAAGTGATTTTGCTGTTTGAAAGAACTCCCAGAGATTGTGCTGAAGTACTGTCTCGTGTTCCTAAGTGTGAGGAGTGATGCGCCTCTTGTGGAGGAAGAAACACATTTGCTAGATGAGCTCTGTTAAGGGAACACTTACAGAGCTGTTGGTCATGAGTTCAGTGTTAATCAATATTTACTTAGTAAGGTTTTTAAACACATGAAACAAGGTGATATTTTGATTGTTGACAAAAATGCAGTGAATGGAGGCTCCCAGGAACCTAACTCTATCTTCCTTAGAAGGAGTGGTTCAGTATTCTCTAATTCATTGTTTGAGATGATTTTATAGAGCATATCTACTGTGAATGAGACTTGTGTTAATTAAGACAAAGGGGCTTCGATTTGTACAGGTGGGGGAGGCAGCCTTTTATTGGGTGTGTCTGGTTACCAAGAAAAGTTAAATCATTTCCGATAAAGGCTTGATCTTACCCTCTTTATTCTTACTTCCTTCAAAGCCCCACATATCAGCCAGTTTTACCTTTGGGTTGACTGTACAAATCAGAAAGGGTGTGAACAGATAAATAATGGCTTCTATTTGCATGCCTGCTCTGCAAGTACAGAAGAAAATTTTTTATGAAAAATGTCTCAAGAATGTATCCTTGCTTTTCTACTATCTTAATGAAGGTAGCCATTTTATTTACATATGGATTTATTGATAATTCTTTGGTTCAAACTCTTTTGATTTGGTCCTTTTATTTGGAAAACTAGGGTCATAATAATTATTTTGTGCCCTAGTCTTCCCCATTTGTAGAAAGGAATTAAAATATCTGTTGTCATTATCAGCTTTGTAATGGATATTTTATGTTTAATCATGTATCAGGTACCGATCTAAGCACTTTATATGCATTATCTCATTTGTACTGTTAGATGAAGAATCTAAGAATTAGGAGACTTTAGGTAACCTGACTGAGATCACAAACTCATCAAGGTCTAATAAATGGTAAAGTTGAAGTTGTAGAGATGTTTTGAGGAAGAGTGACAGAATTCCTCTGTTTAGCATTCTGAGCTTTAGAGAAATTCAAAGTATTTGTGAAATTTTTGCATGTAATTGTTCTTGTTTAGATTACAGTAAGTCATTAGAACAAATTAAGCAGCCTGGAAGATGCAATCCCTTTGGTATTGCTAACAATTATTTGTGGAAAGAAATGGCATTATAAGACCTTGTTTTCTTTTGGGTATTGTAATTAATATTTAGCTAAATTCTAACTTACTCAAGGGGATTTGTTAAATAGGGTGATTGACCTCCTTGGACAAGATACAGAATCTTTGAATCCCATTAGTTATTCTCAGTCCTTACTGTGGAACAGAATTACCTGAAGAACATTTTAAATATACTGACTGCCCACCCCCTTGTTGCTCAGTGTTAAAAGTATCTTTGGAGATGGGGCCTAAACATGGGGTTTTTCTTTAAAGATTTATTTATTTATTTATACAAGCGCTGGGTACAGTCAGAGGCGCGGGAGGGCGAGAGAATTCACCAGAGCCAGAGCGGGGAGCAGAACAGGCAGAGTGACGAAATACACTGCTGAGGGGAGCAGCGGGCGGCAGGAGAGGTCTGTGCGCCATGTGAGACCCTCGCCTGGCGGCCTGGGATTGAACTGGCGCTGCAGAGGTGGCGGGGCAGCTTCGCAACCCAGTACTCAACCGCTGCACCACTGGGGAGGCCCGGTTTTTCTTTTTTCTAAGAGGTCCCCCAGTGATCCTCATGTGCAGCCAGCAAGGAGAATCACAACTATGAGAGTTTTGCTTCTCTTACCCCTGATCTATGTTGAATTGTTTCTCTAACACTCATATTTTTCACTGTAGAGGTAATCGATCCATTTTATTTTCTTCTAGATTAAAGATTTCTTGAGCTACATCTGTCCTGTGAATGCATATCCAAATGTCATTCCAGTAGGCATAACTATGGATAAAGTTAAAGAAATGTGAGTAGTTACTACTGGTGGAACTTGTATTGTTGAGTGGGATGGGTCCAGGCAATAGTTTTGGGTCTGAGAACAGAACCAAGGATGAAAATTGATGTGCCTATAAATAGGTTTTAGGTTGGAAGCATAATTACGCTGCAAGTGGCTATGTTTAATGCTAAAGGCTTCTGGGAATCTGGCATAAGGATGCAGCTGATGAGACCCTCAAAAAAGGGCAACACACCCTTAAGTATTATTTCTGTACCTTCTGTATTTTATCTCCACCATGTAAGCTTAGCTTTCAGTCTGTGGAATAGACAGATCAAATTTGTGAGATTATTGCAAGAGGTAAACAAATCACAATAAATATAAAAGGGGAAAAGCTAACTCTACTCTATTCCCTAATGGCAGAAGATGCCATTACTGTATTAAACGTTGTTTAAAATAGGGACCACTTTCTGAGTTTTTGCTTTTCCTCAATCCTACAATTAGATAGGTATCTATCAGATTGTTTTAAAATGCACTTTACTATATTGCAGTATTAAATTTTGCTTTTTAGTTTTTAAAAGTTCCTTTTAAATTTTTATAATTTTTATAAATGAAGCTTACATTCCAGCAGCTTTCAAGAGGAAAAATATTTGTGTTCATTTTAGCTTGAAGCCTTTCTGCCGATCTTCCCAAGATACAGAGCCAAAGTATAAACCACTTGGAAAACTGAAGAGAGCCAGAAAAACACAACCAGCCTCAGGTAAGAATGATGACCCTGCGTTCAGAGGTATAGGTTTCCCTTAAAGATTGCTTTTCAGCGTGCTCTTGTCTGGTCAAAGGTGGATGGGGGAGAGGTGGACTGGAGACCCATTGTAATTCAGACTTGTCACATGGTCTCAGGAAGTGCTTTGACTTCTGTTTGCAACCTATAAAATCAGGAGTTAGATCTCTGTCACTGGTTTAAAGCAAGTGTTGAAGAGAACTGAGCCTATATAGAACAATGTTCTTAGCTTTCTGGAAAAATGCTCTGTGGTTATTATGACCATAAGGAGAGGCTGACCTGTTATCTTTGAACATTTCCTTTAAGACACTAGTAAATGCTGACAATGGGAACTTGTCACTGCTTGCAATCAGATTGATCAGTAGTGCCTATGCAAATAAATTTTCTTATTTAGTTTCCTACTTTCCTTCATTGCTACTTTCATTTTCCAGTGAAGAGTGGTGGTAAGCTCTGATGTGGAAATCAATTTCAGATTCTTAGCAAAACTGCTGTTCTACAGCAGCCAGATTTAATGAATTTTCATTGCTTTGGTCGAGAGCCAATTATTGTACCATACAGCTAACATGTCTAAATCATACTAGAGAATACTACTTCTTATTAAGCTTACTGTATGGCAATTGTTATGTTAGTTTCTTTACATATATTATAGCTAAAACTCAAAACAAACATATAAATAGGGCTAACAATCCCAGTTTACCAATGAGGAAAGTGAAGCTTAGAGAGCAAGGTAAAGCCCCCCAAAGTCCAGCAGGTTTTAGTGCTGGAATCCGAATCCAGGCTTGTCTTTTCAATCTCTAATTTTTTCATTTCCTCTCATTTAGAATTTATTTGAAAAAACATTTAGATGCCAATTCTAGAATTGACATAGTAAGCCTATTACTGTTGGCTGAAAAAAGCACATTTGTTTATTGTTTGAGTAATTAAAATGTTCCAGGAAAATAACTCCATTAAATTCAAATGTTAAGTCTATCATGTAATGCATCTTCTAATCCTTCTCATATGCAAACTTAGTATTGTTTAAAAAAACTTTATTGAGGTATAACTAACGTACTAGAAATTGCACATTTAAAATATTTCATTTGTGGGCCTTCCTGATGGTGCAGGGGTTAAAGTCTCAGTGCTATCCAGCTATGGCCAGCTGGCCTGAGTTCAGTCCCCAGCCAGGGAGCTAACCCACATGGTGCAGTGGACCTCTCCTGTCTTGCCCACTGCTCCCCTCAGTAGTGCATTTCAGTAGATCAGCCTGTCCTGCTCCCCATTCTTTCTCTGGTGAATCCTCTCACCCCCTGCACCTCTGGCCTACGCCCCAGTTCTTTTTTTTTTTTTAAATAAATTTCATTTTTATATTCCCCATACAATTGCAGTCCCCTTATTTTGACCCCAATCCCTCCCCTCCCGCCCCCGCCCCCCTAAAAGTGTCTCTGGTTCATAGTTTTTTGTTGATTTTGATTTTCACTTTCTTATAGTTATTCATTTTCCTGGTCCCTTATTTAAGTTTTCTAGATTGCTGCTATGAGTGAGACCATCCGGTATTTTTCTTTTTCTTTCTGGCTTATTTCGCTGAGCATGATCCCTTCCAGCGCCATCCATGTTGCTGCAAATTGCATGTGTTTATCTTTTTTGAATGCTGAGTAATATTCCATGTACACCCCAGTTCTTACATGCATAAATAAAAATAAATCCTAAAAAAAAATAAAATCTCATTTGATATTTTTGCAGTTCATACACTTGAGAAAATATAATTTAAATACTAAAAATACCAGTTTGCCAATTTATGCAAAATGTCCACTGCTGAGATTCTGTGTGTGTTAAGTGTAGTGATCGATTTGAGAAAAATTGATCTTGAACTTTCAGATCCACGATTATGGTATATCATTGCCCTTTATTTAAGTCTTCTTTTAATTTCTCTTAATGTTTTGTAATTTTTAGTGTATAGGTCATGATCATCTTTTGTTAGATTGATCCGTAAGTATTTCCTTTCTGATACTATTGTACATAATAATCCTTATTAAGTTTCTTTTTTTTAAGTTTCTATTTTAATAGAACTTGTATTCTTCAACTTTATTAATCCCCACTTAACAGTTCTAGTGTTTTTTCTGTAGATTCCACTGCATTTTCTATATATATTATCATGTCCATGAATAGAAAGTTTTTCCTTTTTCTTTCCAATCTAGATGTTTTTATTTCTTGCCATATTGAATTAGACTTCCAGTACAATGGTGAATAGCAGTGGCAGGGGTGGATGTCTGCCTTTTTCTCAATCTTGGTAGGAAAGCATTTGTTGTTTTACCATTAAGTATGAAATGTTAGCTGTTTAAAAGTTTTTCATTGATGCTTCTCATCAATTGGAGGAGGAGAAAGTTCCCTTTAGTTCTAATAGTTTAAAGAGATTTTATCACGAATGGTATTGGATTTTGTTAAATACCGCTGCATTTACTGAGATTAGTTTTTCTATTTCAGCTTAGCAGTATGGTGAATTACACTGATTGCCTAAGTATTAAGTCAATCTTGTATTTCTGGAGCAAATCCCATGTGGTTGTGACATATTCCTTTTCAGATGTTATTCAATTTGATTTGCTAAAATTGTGTTAAGAATTTATCTATTTTCAGGAGGGATAGTGTTCTGAATTCTTTTTTATCTCTTGCATTATCTTTTTTGGTTCTGCATTATATCTATCTCAAATGATTGGTAGAATTGCCAGGGAAGCCACCTGGGTCAGTTTTCTGTGGAAAGGTTTAAAATTACAAAAGCATTATTTTGGAATAAACTTGCTCGTTATGTTTCCTTGATCCTTTTAACATCTGCAGAATCTAGTGATAAACTTTCACTCCTGATACAAGTCTTTACTATTTTTTTTCTTGATCAGTCCTATGATTAGAGGCTTGCCAATTATATTGATCTCAAAGAACCAACTTTTTGTTGTTGTTTTGGTTTTGTTTTCTACCTCATTGTCTGTCACTCTGAACTTTCACTGCTTATTCTGGGTTTAATTTGCTATTCATTTTAAAATTTCTTAACGTGGGAGTTGAGCTCATAAATTTGAGACCTTTTCCCCCTAATTCAGGCATTTGGTGCTGAGTTTCCCTCCTTACATTCCCCAAATTTGACTTGTTTCCACTTGCATTCAGTTCAAAATATTTTCTGATTTTTCTTTTAATTTCTTTTTTGATATGCATGGGTTATTTAGAAGTGTTTCTGAATTCTGGAAGATTTTCCTGAGATCACTGTTACCTAAATTTTATTGTGTATTAAAAAAAAAAATTCATGGTCAAAATACTTTGTATTTTTTTTACATTTTAAAAGGATAGGTTTATTAGAAAAAGAAAAAAAAAAGAGACACCTGCATTGATACAGGTGGAGAATCTTGGGACAAGAGCTGCCAGAATACTATGTATTTTCACTGAGATCTATGGTCCAGAATAATTGTCCATCTTGTTTACTGTTTCATGTATACTTGAAAGATGTTTTATTGATATGGTTAGCATACTGCTGTTGAATGAAATGGCCTTTAAATAACAATTAGATCAATTTCATTGATAATGTTCTGGCTTTTGATATCCTTGATTTACTTACCCTCTATTACTTATTGACGGTTGTTGAAATCCCCAGTTAAAATTGTAGATTTGCCTATTTCCCCTTGGAATTCTCTGCTTCATCTTTGAAGCACTATTACTAACGGGTTTTGGGTTACAGTCTTTTGACTTCATTTCTAAAAAATAACTCTTTATTATCCCTGGTAGTATTTTTAGCTCTGAAATCTACTAGATCAAATACTAATAGAGGTACTACAGTTTCTTCAGTTTAGTGTTAAGAATATTTCTTTTTGCTATTTTTAATTTTTTGTCTTACATTTAAAGTAGGTTTCTTATTTTTGTGTGTGTGTGTAGAAGAACTGGAGTGTAGGTCAGAGGTGCAGGGGGTGATAGAATTCACCAAGACAGTGGGGAGCAGAACAGGCAGGTTTACTGAAACACACTGCTAAGGGGAGCAGCAGGTGAGACAGGAGAGATCTGCTGCACCATATATGGGTTAGCTCCCTGGCTGGGGATTGAACGCAGGCCATAGTGTGATAGTGCTGAGACTTAACACTTAGGCCACCAGGGCGGCCCCTAAAGTAGGCTTCTTATAAGCAACATATTGTTGGGCTTTGTTTTTTATAGCCAATCTGATAATTTATGCCTTTTAATTGTAGTGCGTAGATCATTTAGGTTTAATGTTATTGATATGTATAGTTTTCATTAATTATATTGCTCTTTTTTCATCTGTTCATTTCTTCCCTCTTATGCTTCCTCTTGATAAAGTTGTTTGATCTCATTTAATCTCAGCTTATTGGTTGTAACATTTTAGTGGTTTGTAGTAGACATAAATTTAACACCTCAGGGCATACCTACTATAGGTATGCTATAAGAAGTCTGTAATAGTGTACTTTCATTTCACCCTCTCCCAGTTTTTGTGCTATTGTACATTTTACTTCTATCTTACAAAATTTTACATTGAACTCAGTTTTTTAAAGCTTTATTGAAATATAATTTATATACCATATATACCTTTAGGTGAACATGTCCCTGATTTTTACAATAGCAGATTTCCACAACTATCACCACTAATCTCAGAACATTTTTATTACTCCATGAAGAAACTCTGCCATTACTACCTCCAGCCTTTGGCAACCACTGATTATGATCTATCTGTATAAGAATTGCCTCTTCTGAACATTTATGTAACTGGGCTCATTCAACATGGATCTTTCGTGCCTGGTTTTCACTTTGCATTGTATTTTAATAGTTCATCCTTGTAGTATATATCAGTACTTCATTCCTTTTTATTATCAAATAATATTCCATTGTATGAGTACACCACATTTACCTATTTAATGGTTGAACTTTTGGGTGGTTTCTACTTTTTAGTTGTAAATGATGATGTTACGAATATCTGCATATAAATCTGTGTGTGGACACATTTTCTTTCTTTTGGGGTGAAAACAAAGGAGCAGAATTTCTGGGTCCTGTAGTGTCTTATTTTATTTGGCTTGCTATAACAAAATATCCAGGGTAATGGCTTAAACAATAGAAATTTACTCCCCACATTTCTGAATGCTGGAAATTCCAAGATCAGTGTTCTTATAACACAGTTTTATTTTGAGAATTCTTTTGGCTAGCTGCCATATTGCTATGTGCTCACAGTACCTTTCTTGGGTGCATGTGCCTGGGGGTGGTTGTAGAGTGCTTGCTGATGTCTATTCTCAAGAGGACACTAATCCTATCAGATCAAGGTCGTGCCCTTACGACCTTATGTTCCTAGAGGTACATCTCTAGATATGGCTATACTGGAGGTTAGAGTTTCAACAGAGGATTTTGGTGGGAAGGGTAGAACATATTTAGTATATAACATGATAAGTCTGTCTTAACATTTAGGAAATAGACAAACTTCCAAATTTGAATACATTTTGGATTGGAAGTATACTTATCAGATTGTGTAAATGTTATTAAAAATTTCAGTGCCTTCATATTTATTACATTATTTTCTCATTGTTATGAGAGGTATTAAATGTTTATATGGTTATAATAGAATACATGTCAGAATGTCAATAAACTAATAGTACAGAAACTTGTTTTTCAGATACATATAGGTGAAGTAATGTGAAAATGTTGACAGGTTAAAACATACCATGATATTGATGGTCATGAATCCAGAAGAACATGGAACTATTCAACTTAGAAATGATACAAAAAATAACAAGTTAATCTTGTAAAACTAGTAATTCATGAGTTCAAGGCATATGCTGGGGATTAGGATGATCCCAAATATTGTAGCCAGACATCTTAGTCTCCTTAAGTGCTTTAGAATGGGATGAATAGTTGCTTATTTAAACAATTATACTATACTCTAAAAAGCCAGGAACCACATCTATCTAGTTTTTTAAAAAAGTTATCAGCTTTAAAAAAGAAAGCTGCCACATATATAGTAACTTCATGAGCATTTACTTTCATCCTTAGCTTAGGTGCTATAAAAGGATAGGAAAATATGTTCCTTCCTCAATTATGTGCCTTTTCATTATGGTAATTTCATACTCAGAGTAAGGATCCTTATTGGAAGAATTTAAGTGGACTGGGCTAACTAATATCTATTTTTCTTGAACACAAAGTGGCTATTCAGTATTTTGGTTAAAGATATTCTACTCCATATATCTACTCAGTATTTATCATAGTGTTGAGTACTTAGCTCTGGCTGCTCTAACAAATCACAGAGACCAGATGACTTACTAACACCTACATCTCAGTTTTGGAGGCTGGGATTTCCAAGAGCAAGGTGCCAGCAGATTTTGTTTCCTGGTTTTAGTAAGAAGGTATGTATGTGCTATGTATGTCCTTTGTGCACTTGATGGAGAAATGTCTTCCTTTTCTTACAAGGACAGCAATCCCATAATGAGATTCCGACCTTCATGATCTCATCCGAACCCAATACTTTCCCACAGATCCCATATAATCCCAAAATCATTACACTGGGATCAGGGCTTCAAATTATGATTTTGATAGGATACAAACATTCAACCCCTAACATGCACAAAGTAGGAATCAAAATATGTATAGAAATTAAATATTACATGACCCAAATCATTGAGCTATTTGCAGAGCACATAATTTGCAAACCTTCTAGTCTAGATGACTCACAAACCTAGCTGATGAAAAAAATTACTAGGTCTCACTTTTAGGTATTCAGTGGACCTGAAATGGGATGTAGAAAGCTGTAGTTTTTAAAAAGTTCTCTAGATGATTCTAATGTTTAGCTAGGTCTAACAAAAATCACTGATATAGTCATCCTTGTCTTATTTGGGGAATACAAATCTATACTCCCAACTTACAGTCTGGTATTATAAGTTGAAGATGGTAGTTAAATTATTCCATATAGCCTAAGAGAGTGATCTCTCTATTTACAGTTCCATGTATTAAAATAGCTAAAATGCTACCAGTTGAATTTTTACTTTTTAAAGCAAAAATTGGCTCTCGGCATTTTGTGTTTCTTATATACCTGTTTTACTTGTCCCGCAGAGGAGGAGGAAGATGATCTCTTTGATGATCCTCTGCCAGTACCTTTAAGGCACAAGGTTCTAAACCAACAAACTCTGCACCCTGAGGTATTTCCAATGACTGCAGTATCACAAAATCAGCCTGAAAAACTGAGACAAAGTACAGGATGCTTCAAAGCAGAAAGTATACAAACCTCTCTTTGGACAAACTTTGTGGATTGTGAAGAATCCAACAGTGAAAGCGAAGAAGAATCACAAGTCTCACCTTCAGCTCAAGGAGATCTGAGTTCTGCTACATGTCACCAGCAAAAGACCGGTGTGGAAGTACCACAGTGGGAAGTATTCTTTAAAAGAAAAGATGAAATCACAGATGATGGTTTGGAAAACTGCCCTTCATCCACAGAAGCAGGGGCCTCTCAGTCACCAAAGCTTTTCAGTGACTCTGATGGGGAATCAACTCACATCTCTTCTCAGAATTCTTCTCAGTCAACACATATATCAGAACAAGGAAGTCAAGGCTGGGACAGCCAATCTGACACTGTTTTATTATCTTCCCAAGAGAGAAGCAGTGCAGATATTACCTGCTTAAACAAAGGTGGCTGCAGACCAAGAATCAAAGAGAATATTTCTGCCTCTCAGATGGAACAAAATGTGCTTTGCCCAAAGGATGGATACTCCGATTTGAAAAGCAGAGATCAAGATATAAATATAGTTCCTGGTGTTGGAGAACCAACTACTTTAAGCAGTGGGAAAAAAATACCTCATGAAAAATTGTTGCTAAATCCTAGTACCAATGCAGATTCACAGAGCTCCTCTGATTTTGAAATTCCCTCAACTCCAGAGGCTGAACTACCTAAACGGGAACATTTAAGGTATTTATATGAGAAGCTGGCAACAGGTGAGACTATAATAGTTGAAAAAAGAAAAAGCTCTTTATCAGATAACTAGCAATTAAAAACATTTCATTTTAGAGCAACGACTAAAAAAACCTATACAAATAGGCAAAGTCATAATAAATGAAAGCATACTAAAAACATTTTATATAACCTAATAGGAAGCAGTAAACAGGGAATGTAGGAATCAAAGAAAGGGAAAAAACATGGTACAGTAGAACTAAATCCAAAGTACAGTAATTACATTAAAGGTAAAATGGTCTAAGCGAAACAGTGAAAAGTTGGGGGAAACATAATCTAATTATATGCTGTCTTTAAGCAACTTACTTCAGATGACACTGGGTTTTAAAAGTATAAAGATGAAAAGATATACTATATAAACAGTAAAAGAAACTGGTAGTGGCTATATCAATATCAAATTACTAATTATAAAGGTCCAATTCATCAAGAAACAATTTAAAATGTGTATGCACCTACCAGTTTCAAAATATACAAAGCAAAATTGAAAGAATAAACCACAATTATAGGTGGTGATGTTAGTGGATACTCAGAGGAATCAATGACAAGAGGACTCAGTCAGTTTTCTCATTTTTCCAGAAGTAAATGTTCCATTCCCAGATGTTATGAAAAAGACAGATTAGCTCTTTTCCATTTGCATTGGGGGAAAACCTGGACAGTTATGATACATGATGGGCTTTTGTATACATGCCTATAAACATTCTGAATATTTTCTTGGCATTTGATAATCATACCATCAATTTAATATTACATATTGCCACATTTTTATTGTTTTATGTGAGTCTGGCATAATAAATTCTGGCTGAATGAATTTAATAGATTTTAAAATACAGGTTTATATTATAGTACAGAATAATTCCTAATGTTTCTATATGGTGCTTTGTCAGTGTTTTACTTGAAAAAACACCCTTTGAGGTAGATAACATTATCCCCATGCACAGCTGAGGGGGCCAAAGCACAAATAAGTTATTAACTCACGGAGTTAACCATGGGGTTACGGGCTAAGTCAGGACTCAGACAATTCAATATAGAGTCTGTGCTCTTAACTATGATGTTCTAATCTATAATGCCACTCAAAATGCAGGATTAATTGCAGTGGCTACTTGATTTTTACTTGAAGAACTATAAAATATAAATGGAATAGTGGGGGGAAAAAAGTTTGAGTGCCAAGACATATCACAAGAAACCCAGAAGTTTGTCATGTGCCTTACAGAGGTATTCCACAACTTAGAAGTTTAATAGTAGATACTGATTTTTAATGCCTGCCTGGAGTTGGTTTAATGTTAAAAATTAGGTTTAGTTTACTGCCTACTACTGAGTGATTATGGGCATGTCAGTGTTACCTATCCAGTGTAAATTTATTTCTGTGTATGTGAGTACATATGAAAGACTTATGGCTTGCTGAATGACTATTACCTCTACTTTAAAAATTCCTTTGCACTTTAAGGCAGTACAGAGCACAGTATGTTTGAGTATCTGGTAGTAGTAGCAGATATCTCACTCAAAAAAATTTTAGAGGTATTCATCCACACTCAGTAATACTAAGTGTGAGATTCTACTTTAATATTCAAATGCTTGAAGCATGACAATGATACTTTTTTTTAGAATTTCTTACAAGGAAAATAACATTAATTGTATAAAGCATTAATAGCAGGTTGGCAGGAATATATCAGTATTTTCCTACCTCACTTGTAGCCTTATTAGAAATGACAGCAAAATATTCAGAAACAAAATTAAGTAATGAAAAATCAAATGCAAATCAAATGCAAACTAAATTTATTCTGCTAAAGAAAACTGCTGAAGTGTAGGAAAATTAAGTAGAGCCTGGAGTTTGCATGGGATGGGGGGGGTGGCAGGGGAAACCTGAGATTACCTCTTGTGTTATCACAATCCTGTGTAGATATGAGAAAAAATACAACTTAAATATGAACTTACAGTCTAAGTTTGATCTAAATATTGTCCTTGAATATTTGCTTTATATTGAGAATAAATTCTAACAACTTAGGAAACTAAAAGAAGCTAAATGCTGACTTAAACTAGTTAAGGCTCCTAACAGCTTCATTTCAAGTTTCTATTATTTTACTGTTTAAGTTCAGCATTTTATTAACATAAGGGTAACAAAGGTATTTAAAAGCTCAAAGGTCCATTACATTTCTATTAAAAGGACAAAACAAGTTTACTAAAAAGAGTAATTTTCCCTTTGCCCTTCAGTTTTACACCTTTTTTTTTTTTACACATAAGAGAGACAACATCAAAAAGTAAAGCACTTTATAAGAATATTAAAATTACATCTTTAAACTCATTAGAACTATCATTCAAAGTAAATTGGGAGCAACCTGTAAATCTGTGACCCTTTCTCACTGCTAATTTTTCATAAAGAAAACATAAATGGCACTAAAAAATGCATTTTCCCTCAACACTTGCAAATTTTGGTTAGCAGATATACTCTTGAGGCCCTATAATGTAAACAATTAACACTGTAGTATCCAAAGAGCAAAGTCATGTGATGGTGGTATAGTGAAAAAGAATAAATGGTAGCTTGTCTCAAAAAAAAAAAAAAAGAGGTTAAGGATTAAGAGGATATCTGAAGTGCTGCATTCTTGAAGTCAATTCAGTTTTACCTAAGCTAATTTTAGATCATTAAGCGTAGGGTAGTGAGGCCTCTCTGGTGGCGCAAGGGGTTAAGATGTAACCTATGAGGCCACTGCAGCACGAGTTCAATCCCTGGCCAGCCAGGGAGCTACCCACATGGTGCAGCAGACCTCTCCTGACTCACCCACTGCTCCCCTCAGCAGTGTACTTAAGTCAGTCTGCCTATTCTGTTCCCCACTGTCTCTGGTGAATACTCTCACCCCCTCTACACATAAATAAATCTTTAAAAAAAAAAACAAAAACCTAGGGTAGTGAGCTTAGATAGGACTTAATTAGGAATACAAAAGGCTAGATAATTTGCATTTACCTTCATATTGGACATCATGATTAGAAATCCCAGAATGAAAAAGAGATGAAAACAGTTTTTCCTGATTGAAGTTTTACTATTCAGAAAAAAAGACAATATATTCCATTTCAGTATATTTCAAGTAATAAATGGACTTAAAATTCACTTGGACCAAGGCAAGTTTAGCTTAATCACATTTAAAAAGTTCATGTATAAAATTTCACTTCAAAATAAAGATTACTTATTAAAGACGAGTCTACAAGGAAATATAAAAATGATTAAATTTGGTATAAAGAAAATGTTAAACCTGCCTGAAATCAGGAAGATATAAAGTTAAAGTACTGTGCCAAACAATTATAATTAGCTACAGTTGCTCTCAAGGGTACTCTTGTTTTACTCTTTAGACCAAAGTTACTCAACACGGGTTTTCTAATTCATGTTCTTAAGAGGGGCCCTTAAAGCGCTCCATTTCCCCTACCTGGCACTCAGAAACCCCTCTGGTCCCACTGTCCTGATCTTTCAAAGAAACAAGGGTCAGCTGTTACAGAATTTTAGAAAGCTTTTTAGAGATTTTTTTCTACAGGGTTAAAATTACCTTATAGAAATACTGGCTCATACATATACCCCTCATATCAAACCAAAGCATGAAATCAAGCTGTAATTAAAGTTTTTTAGATTTAATTTTATACCTTAAATTCCTGTATCACTGAGATCTTTAGATGAAGTATAAAATAGAGTATAATTTAGTATCACTTATTTGTTTTAAATACAAGCACAGTGAGAACTAGGTAAATAGTAATGACAACACAGTAACAAAAATAGAACTTGAGTATTTGCCCAAACTGAATTAACTATTTCTCTAAATCAAGGTATATGGCACGTTCAAAGTTTGATCTTAGCAACTGTTACATCATTTTAACACTTAAAACACTGAAGGAGGCATCTCTATTCACATAAGCTTCCTAAGTGTGTGTGTGTGTGTGTATATATATATATATATATATATATATATATATATATATACTGATCTGGAAGTAGTTTTGGTTCAAGTTTGGTATCTCATACCAAATATATGTTCATTTCAGATTATTTTATGTGACCTTATATTCCTCTCTTCAGAAGCATCTGATAGTCATTTGGCCAATGGTGTAAAACAGGAATTGTAATTAACAGTATATAATCTTGGTAATATGAAAGAGTTCCCAAATATTAGGAAAAAAATTTAACATTAGAGAAAAACAATTACAAATATCAGTTCTATTTCCTGAAAATTCAGTTGAGGTAACCTCTGCAAGTCACAGCTCCACATTTGCACACAGTTCTGACCCTCTTTTTGGCTGGGCTGTGGTCAATAGAATCTGAAGATATATCTCCAGAACCTGAACACATAGAGAAAGAAATATAGGAAAAGCGAGTTAAGACAATTCAGAAAGAGTTTCAAATTTTCCATCAATTTTAAAGTAGCTAGCAAGGTTGCTTACATATTCAATACCATCATAGGAAGTCAACTTCTAAGGAAATCTAAATTCTTTTTTTATATATCAACAAAACAAGTTTTATGAAACAATTAACATCCATGAAACTGTACTTGGAAATCATACCTTTCATTTGATAATCAAAAGTGAGTTCTTCTCCAGCACTTATGGTTCTTGTGGAAAATAATGCTATTCGGGGAAGACGAGTATCGAGGTTATCAATGAAAACATTGAACACTTGAAGATTTGGATCACACTAAAAAGGAATATTAGATCCATTTAATTAAAAATGATGTGAACAAGCTCTTCTACATGCCATATGAAATCTTTAATTTCCAGAGTAGTAGTTTATAAGTTCTACTAGAAATTTTAGTTACTATTGTTTAGAGGTTTTTGAAGCACACATTTAAAAAGACTTCACTAACAGAAAATCTCAGACATACATAGAACTAGAGAAAATAAATTCACATGTTTCCACTCTGTAGCTTCAATAATTTGCCAATCATGTTTTAGCTAATCCTTTTAAATTTTTCTGGATAATTTTAATGCAAACTCAGATATACCATTTCATCTCTAATTCAGTAAGGCATATTTAAAGAACTGCAATATTTTAAAAATCAGCACTTTAGAACTCAAATTTTCTACTCCATGGGGTTTCATTGCTTAAACTTTCACTTGAAATTGTCCAATATCTTGAGAACTCAACGTTAAATTAAGGAATATGCAAGAAAGATGCAGTGAATTATACAAAGAAATCAAGTGTTTAGTTGACCTTGAATGAAATACATTTTGATAGTATCTCATATTTGACATTAAGAAAAAAATTAATGTAAAAATGGGAAATCTAATGAGGAAATCAGAAAGTCTGACATTTTACTACAAATCATAAACTAGTTTCTTGGTATGAAACCTATCAAAAGTTTAACATGGTCTGCTGTCCTTATGTGGTCAGCTATACCACATACTCTGCATTTTCCTTGTAATCTATAAAAATGGAGATAATGTCAACCTCATTGGTCTTATCACGTTGTCAACTTGACATGTACTAGTTTATACTGTGTAACAGATTATTACTATTAACCTCTCTTATTTTGAGAAGTTTTTGTAGTATATAAGACTCTGGAGTTTAGGTTCCAACTTTAAATTCTTTTCAAAAAATAATTAAAAATCAAGGAAGAATACTAATTTATAATTTAGAAAAATAGCCCTAAATACTTCAATATTCTATAAATTCTTAAACTTTATAAAAATGTTGACTTATTTACATTTTTAGAGAATACCTCTGTTTTTAGTGTACATTCTAAAACTATACTTGATCTTAGCCAAAAGGCTGAGCAGTGATAATACAGCCTAAAATTAGATGTTAACTTCTGAAATAAACTTGCAGAGTTGTGATTCTTAAATTTATTACTTAGTTTTTATTACTTAGCTCATTTGCTCATTAATTTCCACATCTGTACATATACCTTATAAAGTTGGAAAGTTTAAATCAAGTAACTTATAAAGACTTTTTGCAAAATGTATTTGGTAGGCACCTCAAAGGATTTTCCTAATATAGCAATAATATTATGACTTAACAGAAGAAGCCCTCAATATTACAATATTTTGGAAATGTTAAAAGGGTCCATAGTTTAAATAATTCCTCAACTATGCAAAAATCATCAAAAACAATACTAAGTTAAATTATTAGTCCTGTCTGTATTTCTTACACTGTGATTCACAAAATGAGACACATTTCCATAGCGAGCTGCATCTACTGTGAATTCATCAGATTCATAGTCCAGATCAAAGAGATAAGTGATTCCTTTGTTGTCATATAACTGCCCCCGCCTTTCAGCTTCTTCACTTGTGATTACCTAAAAAGAAAAAACTGTATTAAATAGTTATTGCTGAACTAAAGAAACATTCATAAATTCATTAACATACAAATGTTTAAAAAGAAATTCAAGTGCCATTGAAACAAACATTCACTTAAATTTGAAGGACAAGACAGAAAGAGGTGGGACACCAAGGAGAGGAGAAATAATGATGCACCAAAATTAGGACTGTTCAGGTATTAAGACAACCCAGCAATTAAGTTGAAACCATTGTAATTTATTGAGCTGTTCAAAAGGCTATAGATATAACTACAGCTCTCTGTAACTGAATGTAAAGGACTGAATTTAAAGGATATAACTGAATGTAAAGGACTGAATTTGCCAAGTGTATGTGCTCTAAAGCAACATTTTTCCTGTAACTAATTCGTATGCAGTTATAAATGGAAGTTTATTACAAATGCAGAATATTTGTATGTTAAGTTTGTAGTCAACTGCTTTGAAAGCTTAGTTTTGTATAATAGGTTGTTTTTCATGAAATTCTGAGCTCAAAACCATCATCTGTAGTTCTGCTCGTAAGCACATAGCTTTACCAAATGCTCAACTTAGGTAACCAAAAATAAATTGTGGTATCAATGAAGTTTAGCTGCTGCATTAGCTGAAAAAAGGTGGGGGGAATAATTTGATTATATAAGATCTAGTATCCTGAATGATTAGTTATCTGCCATTGTTTTAAAGTTTAAGGGTCAAAAGGTGTAATTTAATCTCAGAATTCTGGATTAATACATAGATAAAGCATTTCCAAACAACACTATGTTTTAAAATCAGTCAGATTTGACAGCCCTACATGATGCAGTCACACTTATTTTTTTCTAGTCACAGCTTCACCCACCATTCAGTTTGAGGTGGGGTGGTACAGGGATGGAATGCACTAATTTTGGAGCTTTGGTTTTGAATCTTGTCTTTTTTACTACCCTCTGATCTTGGGCAACTTGTTCAATTTTCTGTGCCTCACTTTCCTTATCTATAATAATGAAGATAATGGTGCCACCTCAGAGTTACTGAGAGAACTGTTAATATATAATGTGCTTAGAATAGTATGTTGTATAGGATAAATACTATTTTGTATATATAGTATTGGTGTAAAAATAAATTTGCTAGTAATGGTAATTTAGAGAATGCTAAAGTTATAAAAGTTTGGACTTTCTTATGGATGCAATAAATGTACATATGTTTTATAATATGTATTCAGGATTGGTCTACTTTATATATCTTTGATGTTGATATAAAATTGATTTTTGCAACTTATATATACATTTTAAAATTTTTTTTAATTTTATATATTTTTTACATCATTCTTCATTTTTGTACAATGTATGCTTTCTCATCTCGGTTATAGTCCCCGTGAAATTCCCACCACCAGTTCACCCATGTACCATCACCATAGTCTCTTATATTCTTCCCACCCATTTTGATCCTACTCTCCTCTTTCTCTTCTCTTTCTCCAGAATATCTCTGGTTAGCTGCCTGTTGATTTTGATATTTATTATAATTACTTTTTCCTTTTCCTTATCCGTTATTTGGATCCTCTACATTCCTCCTAAAAGTGAAACCACCTGGTATTTTTCTTTTTCCAATTATATTTACCCATTATTTAGACGAATGGATGAAGTAAATGACAACTGAAAAGTTTCAAAGTCAGCAAGTATTAGATCTGATTTTTTCCTTAGGACTTTTGTGTAAAAATAGTTATATTTTAAAATTCAAATTGCCAGTATCAATGACTATGAATGAATATTTCTTAGAAGATGATTATTAATTTCACTTATTACTTTTTTGTTCTTATTATTACTTTTTATTATTTTTTATTACTTATTACTTTTTTGTTCTTATTATTCAAAACTATGCCAGTGAACCCTTCTTTCATATCTGAATTTTCTACTTACGAATGACACCAAAATTTAACAAATATTTGTTACCAAGATAAAATGGGAACTTTCAAAAGCTTAAACCTTAGGTCCACATTATTTGCTATGTGGTTAAGTTGAACGTACCTCTCCAACGTATTCCATAACAAAACTCATTCTTTTAATCTTCACAAGAGTTTTTACACCCCAGCCACAGCCATTGCTAGTTCGAAAGATGCACAGTGAATATGGTGTGCCTTTTTGTACAATCCTATTAGGACAATCTGGCCCACACTGACACCTTGAGTTGCATTCATAAATGGGGGTACCAGGTGGGATTTTAATTTGTTGGTTTTTATTATAAGCCAAAAGAACTCCAGCTTCTGCAGGACAACATTTCTCAAAGAAGCAATCTGTGCATGAACAGCCAAAAGTAGCTTCATTTACTAAGCTGATTCCAGGAGCTGGTTTGTATTCATTTATGTAGAAGAAGTCTGAAGGTGGGCCCTCCAAGTCCACAGTATTCTCAACAAAAATCATTCCTTTATGATTCTTTCTTCTGTTGAGTTCATCTTGCCATCTCTGCAAAGCTATCCTTTGTTTAGCCTTCTTTACAATGTATTCGGCAATGGCAGGCCTCAAAGCCTTGTTATTGTCTTTTAGAGTTATTGCTTTGCCTTTCTTTACCTGAGATAAATAATTATGCTTGTCTTTAGAGAACTGCTGAAGTAGTAATGGACACTTGAGATTTTGCAAAGGTTCCCAAGTATTTGTAGAATCTGGCCATCCTTTCCATTTTACAAGATAATATTCCATATCCTTAAAATATAAAAGAAAATGCAAATCAGATTACAATAGTTATTTAATAGTTTAATATCTAAAGAGTAAGGTATCCATTACCATTTTGCTCAATAAAGTTTAGAATATACAGTTACAGGTCTTTATTAGATGTTCAAGTCATAAAAATAAAACTTTATATTACATAAAATATGTACAGAATTTAGATGTAGGTAATATATTTACCATAGACTAAAGAGCTGCACCTGAAGAAAAATAAAGGTACTAAAACTGCTATTTTACCCAATGGTGATTAACTTAAACCAAAAATTGATCACGGGAATAAGAAGTCCCCAAAGTATTAATGTATGCTACGATAGTTACATGACAAACTAAATGCCTACTTTCTCTACATTGTACATGGTTACAAGGGGAAGTTCTAACATCATGGGTACACACCCCCTAGATATTCTAGAGATGCACTGTCCAATACAGTCATTCCTAATGGTATGTAGCTCTTGAGTCTGAAATATGGATAGTATGAGTTGACATGTGTTTTAAGTGCGACATACACTGAATTTCAAAGACAACACAAAGGAAGAATGTAAACAAATATTTTAACTTTTAAAAATTACTGATGTTAAAAATAATATTTATTGGATTAAATACATTGCAATTTCACTTGCTTTTTACTCTTTAATGTGATTAGCACAAAATTTAAAAATCTACCTATAACTCATATTTCTCTTAGTATATGTCCATACAATTCTTATTTAGACTCACCCATGACTCACTCAAGCCACCAAAGATAAAATAATCTTAGAGAATGATCACCATGTACTGGAATCCTGCCATCCTACCTCACTGACATGACTGTTTTCTTCCATTGTCAGCCAATGTCATGTTAAGTTTCTCTTAAAAAGATAGCTAAGTGTGCATAATAAGAAATTCTGAAGTACAGTCTCAATTTTTCTTTTGCTTTTTGAGATAAGTTAACATGTACCCATGTGCCCTATAGTAAAATCCCTTCAGAAATATGAAGGTGATTAAACTACATTGTAGTTTTCAGTTATTTTTATTCATAGATACTGGTAAAACTTAATTGACATGCATTACCTTTTCCCTCAAATTTTTAATTTTTTATTATAAACTTTATTATAAAGTAAGGATACTCATAATTGTTTTGCTATTCATAATTAATGCCAAATGACCTAGGAGGTCTAGGACACATGGTAGTAACACATGTTGCTGAGGCATGAGTTGGTCTGAGGTAACTTCGCAGGAGCAACTGTCACCTTGTTAGTGAGTGGACTTATTTTCTCCCAACTGTCTATATCTCAATGTTTTACTATATTCTCTGCAATAAGCAATTCTCTGAATAGAACTTTGCTTATTTATAAAAAATGGTCAAAATGTTTTGTTTAAAAATGTTAAATTATGGTGTAAGATTATGCACCAAAATGGTATATCCATTGAAATATAGGTATGGGGGGGGGGAAATATACAGGTACAAGGGGAAAAAATACACACATATATGTGTATACACACACACACACACACACCCCCCTAAGTGTTAGTCAAACTGGCTCGTTAAGATGTAAAATGAATATTTCCCTTTTGTCAAGTAACCACTACAATTTGAGATTGTTATCAGCGAATATTTGCCCAACAATGAGATCTACTTGGCAGTATCTAGTATATCTATTCTTAATTTAAAAATTTGAATTTTTCCTAATTCCAAAAAAAAAAAAAAAAAAAGCAATGCACCCCTAAAGTCCCCCTTTTCTGACAGTTTTTGTAACCACAATCCTGGTATGAGAAAAGTTGCCAGCAAACAATGAAAGAAGCAAACACTGGCTTCAAGTCAGATGAGTAAGCTAAATTATCACTTGGCAAAACTAAAAACACCATGCCACTGAAGTCTGCTTCCAAATTTTGTATTGTTTAATGATAGTCACTTCCATTTTTAGTGACTTAAGTTTTCTATGTTTATCACTTTGGCACCTACTACTACTTTATGGATAGTGAAGATGCTTATAAAACATGGGTGTCTTTGGTAAAAGCATAGAAATATTTGTAATATTTTGTTTCTACTTTGTAGATATTTATAAATATATTTTACTTTTGAAATCTAAAAATGGTATTTCCATTTTGAAAAATAAATTTTTACATAGGAAAATCAGTTTGACTTAATAAATTCAATTAATTCAATACCCTAAAATTCCAAATAAAAGTAAAAAAAAGTTAATAAGCCTCATATATTGTTATACAATCTTATTCTAATATGCAATCAACTCTTGATTACCTATAGAAATGGAGTCCAGTCATGAAAATTATTCATAAGTCACTCCTGTATAATTTGAAATGCATCATAAGAATTTTTTCTTACATTTTCCCCCACTATGTTTGGCTTAAGTTAAATTCAAATCTTAGTATTTCTAGTAAGTCTGTGAGAGTTTGTCACTGAGAAAAGAAGGCAATAATATGTGAAATAAGTGGCAATGCAAGGCAGCACTTTTAAATGTCAAAGCCAATAAGATAATAAATACCACTAGCATATTAAAAGTGGAATCAATATAGATCAGACAATCAGAAAAGGGCACAAAGGAAGTAAAAAACTACACCCAAAAAAAAAAAAAAAAGTTAAATGAGATAGGGGGCAGGGTAAGTGGGATGAAAAATGTTAGCAAAAGCTTGGAGCTAAGATTTGCATGAAGTAGCCAGAAAACAGTGAAGAGATAGACTTTGCTAGCTTTAAGGTTCAGAATATTGAAGCAAAAGATAAGATTGTAATGGTGAGACAAGAGCAAATTTTAGACAGCCTTGAATACTTGGCTGAGGCATTTGAATTTTATTTTAGGCTTTTACAATTCTTAGGGAACGATGGCGTTCTGTGGGAAGCTTCATTAAATACAAATATACTTAACTCCATCTTGCTTACTAGGAACAATTTCACCAATCTTCTAATTGCAATGTCAACACTCTAGCCCTCATCTTATTTGAAATCATGATTTCTCATTCTTGTTCCTTTTCAGGCTTCTTTGCTGAGAACACTACCCATCACTGAAGAATTTATCCATGGCCCCCTTTCATACTACACAAATGCTTATCCCTTCTGAAAATACAAAGAAAGTTATGGATCATTTCCTAACAAAAGTCACATAAATAATATCCTGGGTAGTTTCATAATATTTGGATTCCAGGATAAATATTCCTGTTCAAAATGCCCTCTGGGCAACCTCTTCATTCCAACAGTTTTACTTACATGCTGAAGACTCCCCAAATTTTATCTTCTGCAACGCAACCTTCCAATATGGCCCCATTGATATGGTACACGACACCCTCTAGCAACACTAAAATGCTGCTACTGGTCATTCCAGGCTCTGTCATACATTTCTGCTGCCTTGTATACAAAGTTCTCTCCAATTAGAATGGCCTCTTCTAATTGCCTAACACTTATTTCACTCATCTTTTTATGTATTAGAAAACCTACTAAACTTTAAAACTCAATCTTTCCTGCTTCTCTTGCCCAGGGAAGACTGACCACTGTCAACCCTCTTTTGTTCCCATTTCTAATCTAAACTAAAAGCTACTTGTGGGAAGGAATGGAATCTTATTCTTTGTAGCACCAGAAAGGAGGATACTTGCCTACTGTCTGTCTTTGACTAAATGTTTTTGAATGTATAGCAAAAAAAAAAAAAAAAAAAAAAATCACCAACATACATGCAGTATTCACAACTAAATACAGTGTAACTAAATGAATCCTTCAAAGAAATACAAAGTGTTGGAATTTAACCTGGATATAGCAATTAATGGCTTTTCAACACTGGCTCTGTACTTGCTGTCTATAGCTAAGTAGTAGCAAGCACACAATCTTTAAAAAATTCTACCTTCCCATTAGCCAGCTTTTTTTTCCCTGTAAGTTTTGAAATTATCATAATATTCAGTATTAGTGATAGAACAGCCTGAGTCTGATTTTGAAAATACCAGTGTTCTGTGGAAGCACAATATGAGAAATATTAGGGTCAATGGGAAGTCACTGGATTTTCATACAAATAACTAACAGAGTAGGGGTTGTGAGACTTGAGTTAGAGACCCAGCACTGACACAAATAAGCCACATGACCTTGAAGAAGTCCTTTCTCAGAGCTCCATTTTTCTGATCTCTAAAATTCAGATTTTAGTCTAATGATTTCTATACTATTATAGTTCCTCACAAACCACTTGAAGTGTAGTCAGTCTTAAGTATATTAATCTAGGGGCCTCCCCGGTGGCGCAGCTGTTGAGCGCTGGGTTGCGAAGCTGCCCGCAGCCTCCGCAGCGCCGGTTCGATCCCCGGCTGCTCCCTGGCCACCGGAGGAGGGTCCCACATGGCACGAAGACCTCTCCTGCTGCCCGCTGCTCCCCTCAGCTGTGTACTTCGGTCCTTCTGCCCGCTCTGCTTCCCCACTCTGGCTCTGGTGAATTCTCTCACCCTCCCGCGCTTCTGACTGTACCCAGTGCTTGTATAAATAAATAAATAAATCTTTAAAAAAAAAGAATATTAATCTAGCGTTAGATGTGGAATATTCTGTACATCTCATGCAATATAGTGGTGATTCTAGCATTACCTGGATATTTTAAGAAGTCAAAGCTTTGGGTAATATTTCTTTTTTACCTTATTTTTACTGAGAGAAGAAGTCCTACCAATAAACAATGGGTTTCATGTTCTTCACTAAGCTCAATAGGTTAACGAAGAGTACCCATAGTTTTGTCAGAAAATTTTCCATATGAATGATATGGCATGTACGTTGCACAGGAAAACCACAGGTACTACTACAATTCATGTTGAGTTCAACTAAATCTCCACATGAACTTATAACAACGCTGGTGTTCTCCTAGTAAAAAGTCTTTCCAGGGGGCCTCCCTGGTGGTGCAAGGGTTAAGACACAACCTATGAAGCTGTCCGCAGCCACTACAGCATGAGTTCAATTCCCCGCCAGCCAGGGAGCAACCCACATGGCGCAGTAGACTTCTCCTGACTCGCCCGCTGCTCCCCTCAGC